TAATGGCACATTATTACAACAGTTTCTTGCCGTTGGGAAATCTTAGGAGGACGGGCCGAGTAGTGAAGGAATAGGGTGTTGTCTAGTGGTGTACACACGCACGCACAAATAAAAACTGAAAGCCTAACCGTAAACCTAATCTGTCCTAGGCTTAACATCCTCAAGCTTGTAACTGCTCTTCTGTCTTCCCTAATTTCTTGATATATTGCGACTTTTACAGCAGATTGGAATCCAACTCAATTTCAGGCTTATCACATGCAGTTTTAGCAGACTTGTCTTTATCATCATGCTGGACAACACCTTTGTGAGATGGCATCCATACAAATGAGACTAAAACTCTTGCTCTTTGCACCAACAATGTTGTTTATAATGGATGTTACAACATTCCAAATATCTATTTTGCATGTTGGTTTTTTAAGGGCCTGAAGCGATGACTTTTGAATTACGTAAAGTTACTCCTCCATTGTTCTTCAGTGCGTTAGTGGCAAGTTGTGCAGTTAATTCTGCATGTGTGGAGCCACGCCAGTTATTCAGTCTCACACTTGTGGTCAGTGTACATATGTTATCTTCAGACCACAGGTGTGATAGAACCTAGACGCACGTGATGAGGTCAGGAGCGGGTAGGATGGTGGCAGGAGCAGAGCAGGTCGGGTGGTGGCAGGAGCGGAGCGGGTCGGGTGGTGGCAGGAGCGGAGCAGGTCGGGTGGTGGCAGGAGCGGAGCGGGTCGGGTGGCAGGAGCAGAGCGGGTCGGGTGGTGGTAGGAGCAGAGCGGGTCGGGTGGTGGTAGGAGCAGAGCGGGTCGGGTGGTGGCAGGAGCAGAGCAGGTCGGGTGGTGGCAGGAGCGGAGCGGGTCGGGTGGTGGCAGGAGCAGAGCGGGTCGGGTGGTGGCAGGAGCAGAGCGGGTCGGGTGGTGGCAGAAGCAGAGCGGGTCGGGTGGTGGCAGGAGCGGAGCGGGTCGGGTGGTGGCAGGAGCAGAGCGGGTAGGGAGGTGGCAGAAGCAGAGCGGGTCGGGTGGTGGCAGGAGCGGAGCGGGTAGGGTGGTGGCAGGAGCGGAGCGGGTCGGGTGGTGGCAGGAGCAGAGCGGGTTGGGTGGTGGCAGGAACGGGTCGGGTGGTGGCAGGAGCAGAGCGGGTAGGGAGGTGGCAGGAGCAGAGCGGGTAGGGAGGTGGCAGGAGTAGAGCGGGTAGGGAGGTGGCAGGAGCGGGTCGGGTGGTGACAGGAGCAGAGCGGGTCGGGTGGTGGCAGGAGCAGAGCGGGTCGGGTGGTGGCAGGAGCAGAGCGGGTAGGGAGGTGGCAGGAGCGGGTCGGGTGGTGGCAAGAGCGGGTCGGGTGGTGGCAGGAGCCGTTCAGGAGTTGGTAGGAGCGGGTCGGGAGTGTACAGGTGGGTGGGTACATGCACTCGCCACAAGGTCACTCACCCTCACCTCCACCCTCCATGAATCTCTGAACTGGTACTGCAAAGCCCAGGATGTGGAGGGTACGGTCTGTGTCTATTTGTGGTGGCGAAGTGGCAACACACTCGCCTGGCGTTTCGCGAGCGCTTTGACCTGGGTTCGTATCCTGGCCGGGGAGGATTTACGGGGTGCCAATCTTTAACTGTAGCTTCTGTTCACACAGCAGTGAATGGGTACCTGGTTGTTTAATTAATGATTTGACTGCTCATATTCCGGGGAAAATTAGGATTAAGGACCTGCCCGAAACGCTATACGTGCTAGTGGCTGTACAAGAATTTAAGAACTCTTGTATATATAAATATAAATTAAACAAATTGTGTCTATCAAGGGAGACAGGAATTTTACTCATTACAACAATGAAATGAGCGAAATACCTCAGTACAGTATGGCTATTTTCAGTAAACTCTAAACACACTGAGGACTGAGAACCCAAAGGAATTTTCATGAACGTAACCCCATCTTCGGGGTATGTACTTTGAAAACCCAACATGCAAAATAGATACTAGGAATGTTGTACAATCCATTATAAACAACATTGATTCACGGAACAAGAATTACAGAATCTCATTTGTATGGATGCTGTCTGATATGATACAGAAGGTGGCTAAAGCTGCATGTGATAAGCCTGAAATTAAGGTTAGACCTAAGTATTCTAATCTGTTGACAAAACCGCACTATTTCAGGAAACGAGGGCTGACAGAAGAGTAATCACTGACACTCAGAGGGCAGACAGTCTGACTATAAAGAGAGTTAATGAACCAATCCACAAGGGTTCGAACCTACGTCCGAGAGGATCCCAGACGCTGCCTTAATCGACTGAGCTACATGGTCAAAAGAATTGCAACCAAAAATTCTATTGAACTTGGATCCTACAGCCTCTCCGAGACACAAACCAGGGTTTTACACAATTTCCCCGTGCACTCGAGATGTGTCAATAAGCTGTTCTACCTCTTCGCCCTTAATTACACACACAAATCACAATAGCGTAATGCATCAAATGAAGAAATCCACAAATCCACTCTTGTGGATTTGATCATTTGATGCATCACGCTATTGTGATTTCTGTGTGCAAAAAGAGTTAAATGTTTAGACCTGATATTTATATGTACGGACACAGCAAAACAACAATGGTGGTGGAGGGAGAACCATGGAATAGGAATCCATGGAGGTGATAGAAGAGAGGAACCATTAAGGGAGGCCCTCGAGATGGTAGTAACGCGACGGCAACTGCGGAGAGGAAGAGGCGGCCCGAGTGTTACTGTTACATTTTGTCACTTGAGCAAATCTGGCTGGATGCCAGGGCCAGGGTGTGGGCACGGTAACAATTACCCACCTCTGGGGAGTCGAGTCTACCTTGAGGTGGTTCAAGGGTTCAATGCACTCGTGACCGGCGCCTGGATCAGGCTCCCCGGTTGACGGTTTGATTAAAACAGACTTTGCCGTAGCTGCACGCAATCTGACTGGTCGTGTGCCTTTTGGAGTGTTCATCTAGTTCCCTCCGCAACACTGGAGTTGTTAATAATGCTTCTTATATTTTGAGGGAGTTGAAAAGCCTTATTATTAAGTCCTTTGATTATAAAATTAAGGTCCACGTGGTGATAAAACACACTGCCGGCGCTTCCCAAGCCCTTTAGCCTGGTTTTGTATCCTGTACAGTGAGGATTAACTGGGCGCCAACCCTTAACTGTAAACTTAACTGTTCACTCAGCAGTGAATGGGTAACTTGTTATTAAACGATTTGACTGGTCATATTCCAGGGAAAATTAGGATTCAGGACCTGCCTGAAACGTTATGCGTGCTGGTGGCTGTACAAGAATATAAGAACTCTTGTATATATATAAATAAATAAATGAGATGTTGTGGAGGTCTAAATCATCTGTTCACAACCGAGGAGACAGGTTCCATCCCTGGGTGAGATGATGATTATGGTGTGTGTTGCGGTGCTTGAGGAGATGATTATTATGGTGTGTTGCAGTGCTTGAGGAGATGATTATTATGGTGTGTTGCAGTGCTTGAGATGGTTATTATGGTGTGTTGCAGTGCTTGAGATGGTTATTATGGTGTGTTGCAGTGCTTGAGATGGTTATTATGGTGTGTTGCAGTGCTTGAGATGATTATTATGGTGTGTTGCAGTGTTTGAGATGATTATTATGGTGTGTTGCAGTGCTTGAGATGATTATTATGGTGTGTTGCAGTGCTTGAGGAGATGATTATTATGGTGTGTTGCAGTGCTTGAGATGGTTATTATGGTGTGTTGCAGTGCTTGAGGAGATGATTATTATGGTGTGTTGCAGTGCTTGAGATGGTTATTATGGTGTGTTGCAGTGCTTGAGATGATTATTATGGTGTGTTGCAGTGCTTGAGGAGATGATTATTTTGGTGTGTTGCAGTGCTTGAGATGATGATGGTTATTTATGTTGTAGTGTTTGATATGATTCTTATTGTGGTGTGTTGCAGTATTTGACAGATATGATGCCTGTTGTGGTGTGTTGCAGTATTTGACAGATATGATGCCTGTTGTGGTGTGTTGCAGTATTTGACAGATATGATGCCTGTTGTGGTGTGTTGCAGTATTTGACAGATATGATGCCTGTTGTGGTGTGTTGCAGTATTTGACAGATATGATGCCTGTTGTGGTGTGTTGCAGTGTTTGACAGATATGATGCCTGTTGTGGTGTGTTGCAGTATTTGACAGATATGATGCCTGTTGTGGTGTGTGTTGCAGTGTTTGACACATATGATGCCTATTGTGGTGTGTTGCAATGTTTGATACATATGATGCCTGTTGTGGTGTGTTGCAATGTTTGACACACATGATGCCTGTTGTGGTGTGTTGCAATGTTTGACACATATGATGCCTGTTGTGGTGTGTTGCAGTGTTTGACAGATATGATGCCTGTGAACAAATCCACAAGGGCCGTGACGAGGATTCGAACCTGCGTCCGAGAGCATCCCAGACGCTGCCTTAATCGACTGAGCTACGACATGGTCAAAAAGTACGTGGTCAAAAGAGGTGACTTTTGACCATGTCGTAGCTCAGTCGATTCAGGCAGCATCTGGGATGCTCTCGGACGCAAGTTCGAATCCTCGTCACGGCCCTTGTGCGTTTGTTCATTTGATGCATCATGCAATTGTGATATGATGCCTATTGTGGTGTGTACAGCTCATTTCTGCTTTTGATTGTGCACTCTTACATGTGTGGTTGTGGCTTTCCTTGCAGATACTGCTTGTTTAAGCATGTACTAAGTGCTACATTATGCCCAGTGTTTGATATTCTTTATTGTGGTAGTGTACATGATGTGTGTATGTGTACAGTTAAATAAATACTAACCACTTTAGCAGAGATGTATATTTACAAAAAGAAAAAAGAAATGTATTCATAACAGACACTATTATTGAACCTAGGTATTGAACACAAATATTCAGAATAGGTATGCAACACAAACTTTCAGTACAAGTATTGAACTCAAAGATTCAGTATAGGTATTGAACATAGGTCTGCATAAATTTCACTCTTTATGTACAATAAAATTTTGTGGTTGCAGGAGGTGCTGGAGGAGATACTGGAGCGCCACGAGGGTGTGGAGAGTGAGTTGGCCACCCGGACACTCTCCCTTGCCCTCACATTGATCACACAGCAGTCAAAGGCTCTTGGTCTTCCCGACTTCCCGATCGACAACATTCACTCCATCATGGCTATTATGGTATGTCTTCTTCGTTGTGGTGAAAGTAATTCACAAGTTAGGAGGAACTTGGCAAGATGATGATGATGAGGAAGGAAAAGGAAGAGTGAAGAGAAGAGAAGAGGTCAGGTCAGAGGGAGGGGGAGGGGGGGAGGAGCTTGCAGTGCTGGTCAGAGCAGTGGGAGGTGGTGTTTTGTTTGTTACGGGAAGTTGTTTTGTGGTACATTTTTATCAAATAATTTTAGGAGGGGTTGGAGTATTTTATCGCCTCTGGATTTTAGTGAACATTGGCCTCAGATGTGTGATTGATCTCTGATCTCCATGAGTGCCAACACTTCTTTAATGGGACAAGATGTATGTTGAAAAGGTTTTTGCCACTGGCAAGCATATGAAGTCATCCGAAGCCTATTGTGACAGTGTCCATGGGAACAAAGTGGGGGGGGGGGGGCAGTGGATGTCAGAGCACAGGATTAGTTCAGTTACCCAGTAATTTTTTTCTTGTGCCTTCCTTCATTCAAAGTTCTGTTTTAACATTTCCCTTTGCATCTTTTGATGACTTCTTTGGGACTACTAATTCCTTTCATTATTATGTAATTTGTTAGCATTTCTAAGCATTTATGCCATCTGCCATTTTTTGTTCAGCATCACCTATAGAAGGATAGTTTTTCTGCTTTACCTACCTGTCAGTTTTGTAACTAGACATCCCCATTTATTGTGCGACCTTCAACTACACTTACAGCTTTTGTCAAGTTCACTTTTTTTTTTAAGTGCCTTTTATATATTTGATACTACTGTATTTCCTTATCTTTACAGCCAAAAACTATTACTGTATTGACTTTATTCTATACGGTGTTTTGTACCTCCTGTTGCATATCTGTCGATAATTTCGAGGAGCACTGTTTCCATGGGGCAGGTCTCTGATCAGGCCTCCTGGTTGGTGGTCTTGTTAACCAGGGTGTTCGATGTGGCTGCTCACAGCCTGACATATGAGTCACAACCTAGTTGATCAGATATCCTTTGAAGGTGGTTGTCAAGTTTTTATTTGAACACTGCAAGAAATCTTGCAGTGTTAGTATATGTGTAGAGGGAGAATGTTGAAAAGTCTTGGACCTTTGATGTTGACTGAGTTCTCTCTGTGTGCCTATTGCACCTTTGCTTTTCATTGGGGCTTTTTGGCACATCATGCCATGCCTTCTGGTCTCATGAGGTGCTATTTCTGTGTATAGATTTTGAACTAGTCCTTCACCCAGAACCAATCCGGGTGAAGGGAACTTCTCCATTGGGAGAAGTGCCGAGCCATTATGACTATATAGCACTTGGAAGGAATCAGGATAAAGATCTGGGATGGTACGAGTGGAAGGAATGGAACCTAACCACTTGCACAGTTGGGGATTGAACACCGACCTGCATGAAGTGAAGCCATCACTACCATCCAGCCCAGGTAAAAGCTCTCTGCCAGGTGAACAGAGGTGAACAGTTAAGGATTGGCACCTAGTCAATCAACCTGGCCAGGAAATGTAAAACGTTTGGCAGATCTTGTTCGAAAGAAAGCTAGTAGGATAAAGCTTAAGATGAGCTATGGAGAGGCAAAGCTCTAGGCCTGTAAACATGTCAGAACTCATCTACTCCTATAGGCTAGCCACCTGTATATTCAAACAAAAATTAAACAAAATAAAGTTGCTTATCTATGCCAACCTTATTCATAACTCTTTGTGTTATGAATGTGTATGTGCATGTTTTTATATGTTAATTTCTGTAGTTTAATGTCATTCTAAGCCAATTTAATAATTTAATTATCAATAATTTAAGTTTTGTCAGTTTTATGTTAAAAAAAAGTTTTATCATAGAATCAGTCTAATCACAAAGTAAAAGCATGAACATTGTTAATGTAGTTGGTGTGAGTAATTTGGCATTTATAATTCTCTCTGCATAATTTTCAGAGTAAATACCCCATGACTGAGCCTTCAAATCTGATCCTGAGGCTGTACCCTTACCATGCCTTCTTGCCACAAGAAACCTACAAATCTGTTGAAGACGTCTTCTCAACATTTGGTTTCAATACTTCTCAGGTACACATTTTTCATTCTTGTGTGTTTGCACATGCTAGTGTGGGTATGAGAGTGAGAGAGAAAATGCACATATAAAATAGCAAATTAATCTAATTGTGCTTTCTGCAAGGGCCTTTTAGTAGTTCCTCAAGCTAAGTGCTCATCTAGCTAAGCTTAGTGAGATATATAAAGACTTATCTTTAAATATGCAAAGTTTTATGTATTTAAAGGGAGAGTTTGGTGGAGAACTCCATTACCTACACTAAGTGTATGTAGGCTGTGTGTAACACTTGCCATGGCTGCCAGCTCACTACCTCCAGACTCCTAGTGGATTCGAGCAGATCCCAGGCTATATACTCTTTAGTACTGTATATCATGTTCAATGGTTTAAGCTGTACATCTAGCATTACTTAGGATCCTTCTCCAATGATTTTCTCATAGATATTACATTATAGTATTAGGTTGATATTAGATTCCTGTGCTCCTCTTTAAGCACACCAAATTCTGGCCCTGGTATTCAGTAGACCTGTTCAAGTACAGAGGCTTCAATTCACCATGAACTACAGTACTGAGGACGCACAGAAAAAGGCATTTCATTATAGTACATTAAAAATTGAATTTACTCATAAGATGCTCCACTAAAAAACAAAACATTTTCCATGGTATCAAATATCCACATTGATTTGTCCAGTAGAATATTATTGTTATTAAATCAAACAATAAAATATTTTCTACTTTCAGAAGAGCTCTACTGCTGAAATCAATGAAGTTAGTGAAGTTGGGCAGCATCAGTTCGAAAACAAAGTAGAAGCACAACTTATAGTTGAGGGTCAAGAAGTGATCACACAGGTAGGCTCTGTTGTGTGCAATTACCAAAGTGTAGTTACAGGATGAGAGCTACACTCGTGGTGTCCCATATTCATAGTACTCTTTGTCATATAACACTTTGATACTACTAACAGTTTTGGCCTCCTCCACCTTCTTGCTTGTTCCAACCATCTACCATTCTGTTTGCAAAAGTGGACTTTCTGATGTTTTTTGGCAGCTTTGTTTCCTCAGTTTGAACCCATGGCCTCTTGTGCTTAATCTTGCAGTTTTCAAAAATTCTTCTTTGTCAATCCTATTGATTCTTGTTACTATTTTGTAAGTAGTGATCATATCACCTCGAAACCTCTCCTCATAGCTCTTTTATTTCATATCCGGGAGCCATTTAGTTGCTTGGCTTCACACCTTTTCTAGTTTAGTGATGTGCTTCTTAAGATATGGGCACCATACAACTGCTGCATATTCCAATTTGAGAGTCATAAAGGTCATGAACAATTTCTTTAATATTTCACCATCTATGTATTTAAAAGCACTTCTGAAGTGGGAAGGCATAGCATACGCTCCTCACACAATTTTCTTTGTGATCCTCAGGTGACAATTTTTTATATAGAACCACCCCTAGAGCTCTTTCCTTATCAAATCTCTCTATAGCTTTTTCATATAATTTGTTGGTTGTGTGTGTGGCCTATTATCTCCTATTCCACATTCCATAATGAGGCATTTATTCGCATTAAATTTCATTTACCAAGTGTTGCTCCATACACTTACTTTGTCCAGGCCTTCTTGTAGGGCTTGTCAGACATATGAGCATCTTATCTTCCCTAGTAGCTTGGCATCATCCACAAAGATGTTCATATAATTCTGTATTCCTTCTGGTAGATTGTTCACTGGTAGATACAGTGAACATTAATGGTGCTAGAACTGAACCCTGTGATACTCCACTAGTAATATTTCTCCAGTCTGATACATTGCCTCTGATTACTGCCCTCATTTTTCCATCAGAAAATTTTTCATCCATATCAGACAGCTTCCTTGCCACCCATCCAGTATGTTACAGTTTCCAGAACAACCTCTTATGTGGGACTTTGTCAAAAGCCTTTTTTTGAAGTCCAGGTAAATGAAGTCAACCCAATCCTCTCTTTCCTGTAAAATCTCTGTGACTATCATAAAACTAAGTAGATTTGTTACACAGGATTTGCCTGTTCAAAAACCCTACTGCCTGTTATTACTGTATATTATTTCTCTCCAGGTGTTTTCTCCATTTGACTTTAATACTTTTTCTAATGCTTGTTAGTGATACAGATCTATCAATAAGAGGGGTCTTCTCTGCTACCATTTTTGTAGAGTGGAACTTGCTAACAAGTTTATGCTAGTTTCGAGAGATTCAATTATTTGTTTGCATTATTTGGAGAAGTTTTAAGGCTTCAGGCTTTTTGAACCCAGCAGTGGTCTGCATTGATTCTCTGAATTTCTGGATGCTTTCCCAGTGCCATAGCAGGGTCACCCACTCTACAGCTCTGATAGGGGGGGCCAGGCTCTTTCTCTGGTCCCTGGTGGGCCAAACAGAACTCCATGGCTGATGTAACCTAGTAGCTGGGAACTATCTCAGTGAGATAACTTTAAAGAGAGCAATTGGGGTTCATGCAGAAGAACCATTTCATTACATTCAATGCTGTTTTTTGTAAAATATTTGTGAGATCAGGTATTGCAAGCAGACTTGCTTGAATTGTTCATAAGTGTACTGTAGTTACATTTCTTGGTTAGTGTGTCTGTGACTTTTAAAGCTCCTTGTTAATAAATATCTGAGTTACAGTATAAATGCTGAAATGAGATTATGTAATTTGTCAATGAAGTAAAGTTTGTAGGGTGTTACTGGACAAGAGATTAGTATTGAAAGCTGGTAAAATTGTACCTGTTTGCTTGCCCCCATGTGATTGAACAATATCCAGAGAATATTTAAATTAAATTTTTATGAGAAGCATTGTATGTCTAATATAATACTACTTATATTTTTAGATTTCCTCTGGGAACTGTTGGGGAAATCAACCTCCATCATTTGTATTTACTCCATATCATCACAAAATGCTCACCGAAATGATTCAGAGCCACAGTGTTGGCGATTTCTGCATAATTGGCCCACGTGGATGTGGAAAGTCTGCAGCTGTTGCCAAGATGGCACACATGTTGGGTTACCAGACAGAGCCGATACTTGTGTACCAGGTTTGTTGCCGCCAGTTTTTCTTCGTGATGTATAAGGTTATGAGTCGGAGGTTTTATATTTCTTTTACTGATGTCATCATTCCATTGTTAATCCTTAGGATAAAAGGAAAATTCTTCTTTAAAAGTGATAGTTACAAATATGGAAAGAATGATCTAAAATATTGTTAAAATTATCCATACCCAACATCACACTAAACTTCCTATTAATTTATTTACAACAATTTATAATTTGATTTTGATATGTTTACTTATCACATAATTTTACATAATGCATCTTATAAAAATGCTTGTACATATAGCGACTGGAGTGTGTACAAAAGTTAGACTGTGGTACCCTAAAAAATGCCTGTGGTTTATACTACAGTACTGTACTTGTATTTGTATTGTATTGAGCCCAAGAGAGATGGTAACATGCTAGTACTTAACCTCTCTTAGGTCTAGTACATTTATTTCTAGGTTTATTTCTGGAGCCTAAAGATACTTTACAGAATAACTTAAAATGGTAGTGATAATTTCACAGAACATGCACGACTTGTAAGAATATTTTGAATACTGGGACTTAATGTAGTTGCATTACTTTACAATCTTCTCACATCTCTAATTGCAAATTCCAGATATAATGACAATGGTCTTACTAGTTAACACACAAATATCATGGACAGTGGTTGGTAGAACACAGAACACATGCTCAGCAATACTCACTCTGGGGTGGACAGATCAAAACCATTAAACCGGTTAACCTCTGGGGACATGTACACAACTTATATCTATATATTATACAGTACAGTATATATATATCCTGCAACTAACTAACATATGCAGAGCACTGCGACTATTACAAAGTCCTTGCACTTATTGTTATTATGGAAGACCACCGAGCGTCCCATTGAACATCAGCCAGACTGTACAGTATGCCCTCCGCTAAGTGAATGAATCGAGTGTACTGCTCTCTCCAACCGCCAGTGTTGCAATAATATTTGCTTTCTTTTTTAATGTTTCTTTTCTCCACCTACATTTAACACTGATTTGTACACACATTTTCAATCACTGTATGTACTTGAGAATATTTACTTAGCTTCATTGAATTGAAATATATATTCTTTTAGAGGAGGAGGAACATCCCCTCACTGAGACAATACACTGCACGTGTGCAAAACTAGCCGCTGCTCTGGCAGCAATTCTCAATGTCTTTTCCTTACTAGCCAACCCAGAAGAGTTCTCAACACTAACAAATTCTTCCAAAATGGTCCCCTTCTTTACAGTTTTTAGTCTTTTCATCCCCTTCAGTCCTGGAGAGTTGACAAAAGGTACAATGTTTAAAGTTAAAAAAAAAAATGATAATTATTACAGTATTGTAATATTTAACATCAGTGTTGATTTCTTTTATTCCATTTAGGATATGACCTCACGTGACCTTGTGCAGCAGCGAGTGACCTCAGACACTGGTGATACAGCCTGGCAGTTTTCCCCACTGGTCACAGCTGCCTTGGATGGAAAATTAGCTGTTTTAGATGGAATACACAGACTTCACCATGGAACATTGGCTGTACTACACAGGTTAGTAAGTAGACTACTATTTTCAAGCACTCAACTTGTTGAGATGAAAATTTTAGATGCTTGCCTTCAAATTTGTCATAGTGTTGTATGACAGTTCTATCAGTTGTCCATAGTTTCCTTCTAATTTATTTGTGTCAATATTTGTATAACTTTGTCACTAAATAAAGACAATAAATAAAGACAATAAATGTAGATTTACTTTAAATATGGTAGTCATTATTTCAACAGGATTATTCTCATTAGTGCAAGCTTGTTGTATACTGCATGCCTGGTTAAAGTATTGCTGTACAATATTTAACTATAACCGTGCATCACCAAAATTAATTTGTAGTACAGTACATATTACTTATATATTTTCTGTATTTGGGTCCACAAGTTTGATTCTCCAAGGGGGAACTATAGGATAAAAATGGCATATGTAATACAGTTAAATCTTATTTTCCATCACTCTAGTACATTTCTTTTCCCTGATGGCTTCCAAGGTTGTTCCCTGTTGCTAATAGCTCTGGATAACTCCACATCTCTCAAGCTGTACCAAGCCCTTGTGAGTCACTAATAGCCTAACATAGACCAGAGGCCAAAACCTGGTCTCCCATTTTTTTTTTACCTTTCTCTTTGTTCTTAGTAGTGAGATAGCAACAGGGAGCCACCTCAAAATCCCTCCCAGAAACCTCCCAAAAAATTCACTTGAATGTAGTGAATTGCCTCTTCCTCGTGGTCCAAATGGCTCTCTGGACACACTTTCCTTCAAAAAGTTTGGTTTGCCTTGGTTCATGACAGAAGGGGTCCACCTCCTGAGCCACTAGCACCCAGTGCTGCCATCTGGTGGTGGGGAGTTGGTACTAGTACTTGCCTAGTTGTGCTTGTGGGGGTTGAGCTTCGGCTCTTTGGTCCTGCCTTTCAACTGTCACTCAACTGGTGTACAGATTCCTGAGCCTACTGGGTTCTATCATATCTACATTTGAAACTGTGTATGGAGTCAGCCTCCACCACATCACTGCCTAATGCATTCCATCTGTTAACTATTCTGACACTGATAAAGTTCTTTCTAACATCCCTGTGGCTTATTTGGTGGTGAAACAACCTAACTGCTGGGTGTCTCATTTGCTTTTGTTTGTTTTATTTGACTTTACCTTTCTGGTGGCTATTTCCTTGGTTAGAGTGGTCTAGTATTGTCTGCTCTCTGTGCCTCTGTGATCAGATCAGGTTTTGGTGGCTGGTCTCCAGTAGACCATTAATGACTCAAAGGGGCCTGGTGTGATTTGATAGGGATGCAGCTATTCAGAGTGGCTAGCAACAGGGAGCCACCTTGAACCCACCACAAAGAAGCATTTCATTACATTCTATGCTGAAATTTTGTTCTACATCCCCTCCCCACCCCCCAACCTCTTCTGTAAGGCATTCCTTGTATTTTAAAACTGAAATTTACAATTATCGTATATGTTGTAAGAGCCTCATATGGGCTCGGGATACAATTCAGTCAAATACTGTAATTTTAATTGGTGTAAGGCTAGCTTTGTCTAGGTTAGGCTGATAGGTCTAACCTAGCATGGATTCAGTGCCAAATTAAGCTTTGCTAGGGCCAGGAAACAAAAGGGGACTAATAGCTAAATTTCCAAGTACAGTATTTTAATAGCAATTATGTATTCATATTTTGTTTATATATACTGTATACTGTACAGTAATTTTCGCTAAATTTGGTTCCATATCATCAGTTTTCCTGTCTGATTAATATATATGTTTGGTTTATTCAGTTACAGAATACAGTAATTTATAAATACTGTACAGTACATTTCTGTACTGTATAGTATTTATGGCATTTCGTAAGATGAAAATGTTTACCGACATAGTATAAATTCTGAATGTTTTTCATATATTTTTTCAGGCTCATACATGACCGAGAATTGCAATTGTACGATGGGACAAGACTATTACGCTCTGATCAGTATGATTCAATCAAGGATGAGAATGGATGGTCAGATTCAGAGATGACAGCCAGAGGCATATACCGCATTCACCCATCATTCCGTATTGTAGCACTAGCAGAACCTCCAGTAATTGGTGCTCCTCAAGGACAGTGGTTGACTCCAGAAGCTCTAACTCTTTTCCTTTATCACAATATGAGACGCTTGAGTTCAAAGGAAACTGTCAACCTTGTAAATCAGCTGGTAAGTTGATAGGTTTACTGTTTGTATGGTTATCTATATCTGTATATATTTCTCTAATGCCTTATTACTTTTGGGAATTGCCATTTCTTTGAAAGGGAGTAGTCACATGGAAAATTTTTGTCTAGACATTTCAACTAACTACATATGTTAAAAAGGCACATTTAAAGTAGCACCTGTAATATTTGTCAATCATTTATACATACCGGTCTGACAATCATAAAATTAAAATGATTGCAACTTAGGTTATGATAAATAGATATTTGGGGAAAATAAGAACTGCTTTCAGCACTTACAATCTAGCGAGAAAGAATGAGTAGGGAAAATCAGGAATGGCTTAGGCAATTGTTCTCCTGAAAACTATAGGCCTGCAAACTCCAGATTGAGTGTGTTTCTTGTTTGCATTTCCTATGTAAATTTTAGATTTTCTCTCAGTAACAGTCAATCAAACAATATTAAGTCCAAGAACAGTGAAAAGCTCTGTACCCCAGAGCACAGCCCTTGCACCACTGCTCTTTCTCATTCTCATATCAGATATAGAAAAAATACAAATTACAGCTTCGTGTCATCTTTTACACATGACAAAAATCAACTTGAAAATTACATCTGTAGAAGACATTGCAAAAGTACAAACTGATATTAATAGTCTTTGATTGGGCAGTGGATGATGTTTAACAGTGATAAGTTCCTGGGGCCAGATTCACGAAGCAGTTACGCAAGTACTTACGAACTTGTACATCTTTTCTCAAGTTTGGCGGCTTTGTTTTCAATTATTAAACAGTTAATGAGGTCTGAAGCACCGGGAGGCTGTTTATAATAATAACGTTTGATTGGAAGGTTTTCATGCTTATAAACTGTTTAATAAATGTAACCAAAGTCGTCAAAGATTGAGGAAAGATGTAAACGTTTGTAAATACTTTCGTAACTGCTTTGTGAATCTGGCTCCAGGATCTTGGATTAATGATGTCTGATGACCTAATGTTTAGTGAGTATAACCAAGCAAATATAGCATCAGTCAGGAAAATGATAGGATGGATTATGAGAACCTCCAAATCTAAGGATCACATCACAATGCTCATACTATTCAAATCACTTGTGCTGTCCCACCTGAGTACTGCTAGATACTCGCTTTCCCTTTCAGAGTAGGAGAGATAGCTGAAATAAAGGGAATACAGAGAACACATAAAGCATGAAAAGGCATCATAAAGCACCTCAATTATTGGGACCATCTCAAAGCTCTTAAAATGTACTCTATAGAAAGGATACGAGAGAGGTATCACATAATATATACAGTACTGTACATGAAAAATACTGGAATGCGAGGTCACCAACTTTGCAGAGTAAAATAACAACATACTGGAGTGAAGGATATGTTAGGAAATGCAGAATAGAGCCAATGACAAAGGTAGGTGCCATAACCATAATCAGAATCCACAGCTATTCAGTTTTCCCCCAGCATACATAAGAAATATGAAATATTACCAGAACAAAAGTGGATCACTTCAAACAAAAATTAAACAGTTTCTTGCAAGAAGTGCCAGATCAACCAGGTTGTAGTGGACAAATGGGCCTGCAGGCCACTCCTAGCAACAGTCAGTTGGATCAAGCACTCACAAGTCAAGCCTGGCCTGGGGAGTAGAATAATTCCTAGAACCCATTCCAGGTAAGATTCAGATAAGCATTATGAATATACCTTATTCAAGCACCCCACCAGTTACCCTCATCAGTTATGCACCTGTTGTGATTAAGACAATAGCTCCTACATTAGCGCTTGTTTGGTAGCCTGTAGCATATTGCTAAAAAAAATTATTATTTATTACCTGTTTATATAACCTTCCTACTTCTCACTCAAAGTAAGATATGCTACACTTTACTTATGGGATGCAAACCAGAATATAGTACAGTATTCCTCTCCAGATGGTTCAGGAACTGCTTTTGAGTTATAACAAAAGTATGAATAGAGTTACAACAAAATATTTGTGTAAAACTATAACTTTATGTAATGGATGCAAGAAATGATTTGTTATGAGGTAAAAACACTAAATGTATATTGCTGTATTATTCTGCAGTATATTATTGCCTTTTAATATCTTATCAGGTTGGAGATTGTAATTCTTCAGTTGAACAACTGATCACACTTGCATCCCAGTTGACTGCTTCTACTGATCCAGCTTTAAAGTCACTAGCTGAGTCACTCTCTCTAAGGCAGATTATCAGGATAGCAAAACGTTTCAAAGCTTATCCATCATTTGACCTTCACACTGCAGTGTATAAGGCCTGTCTTGCAAGGTAAGTCTTAAACTTGGAGATCAATCTCTTTAAAATGTTCTAAATCAATTAATTTGCAATAAATTAAAACATTTCAGTCTTGTAATTTTAATAATAGAAATAGTAATTCTAATTATAGTACAGTATAGTAATATACTAGTACAGTACAGTACTATAATTAGTATAATTATAGGCTGGGAGTTCTGGCTGTATTTGGAGTCTGCTCTTTTGGTGAGTGGCCCCAGTGTGCTTGTGTGTCCTGTTTGGCTAGTCTTCAGGCTATGCCAATTCTCCTGCAGGTCTCTGATATACTGTAGTTCACTAAGGATCGGCCATCGAGCCTGTGCTCGCTCTATGCAAGATCGAAGGGGTGTTCATTATCACGGCTACTGGACGATAATCATTCTCTGCCTCCAACATGCTGCCTGCTGGATTGGTGACACCTACAACCCTTAGTCCTGTAAGGTTTGTTCTCTATGGGTGTGACTGATTTGATTTTGAGGTTGGAAGTTTATTTATCAGCCATTGTGCATGCTCGGCTTCCTCATGTTACGCATTTACGGCATTGCCTCAGAATTGGCTACTATGGTGTTTAGGGACCCAGAAATGGTAGTGTTGGTGACTGCCATCTGGACTAATTCCATGCCTACTCTTCCTTCCTTCCTTTGAAGTTGGGGTTTAGATTGCTTCTGGTCTTCATCCCTGGTTCTGGTTCCGAAGTGTCTCAGTGTTTTGTTTCGTTGGGGTTTTGAGGTTTTTAGCTTTATAAACGCTTCCCCCCACTGAACCTTCTTCTTGGACCTTCTGTCTCAAGCATTCGGCAAAGATTATGCCTCTACCCTGGAGCCTTTGTTGCAGGCTTCAAGGGCTGAGGGGGAGCAAGAGGAGTGTCCCTGGTTGCCTTTTTCACCCTTCATGGACCTTGGTTCCCTTTGTAGAGGGTCTTTTGCTTCAGAGGGAGAATTTAAAATATTCCCCGTGTGTGAGTATGACTGAGCAGCGATTCTCCCTTGGGTTTGGTTCTGGGTCTAGTTTGAGGCCTTGGAGTCGTCATATTTGCAGAGGTTTCTATCTTCCCACATTTCACCTTTGGGGACTTGTGCAGATCATCTCAGTTCAATGGTTCTTTCCTTGTCCTGATTCTTTCTTGATCAGCTCCTCATGCCTAATGTTGTTGCCACTTATTGTGCAGCTTTAGTGGAGCCACTTTCATTGGTGTTTGGCAATGATATTTCCTCAGCATTGTTTCACAAGTTGTCTTGGGCATTCTATCATCTCCAGCAGGCTCATGTTTTTCCCCCTCTTGAGCCTTCTTGGTCTTTAGAAGATTAGACTTCCTAATTTGACCCCTCCACAAAGGGTCCAAATTAGGAAGCTATATCAGCAACAGTTTCATGGAGCCACCGAGGCTTACCCAGAATGGAATGTTTCATTACATTCAATACTGGTTTTTAAAGTTTATCAGTAACCTTTGATCTCACAATATTTTCTTTCTCTTTATTAATGATCTTAATGCCATAGTTTTGTCTGATCTAGGGTAGCCAAGCATCTCTGGGGCACCCCACATCTTTCCATAGATTATGCTGAAAGATAGTTCTCTTTTTGAAATTCACAAACATTATAGTCCAACCAGGCATACCTCTTCTCCTTATTTTAAGAGGGATACTCTCTTTGTCGGCTTTAATTAGTACACACATGACAGTGCAAGCCACAAGAAAGTGGTTGTGATTTATTAGCGTATTGTATAATGCTTAATGAGCTTTTAAGATCCTGTTTCTGAACCATGAAACTATGTATGTGACTAATCTGTTCTGCCACTGCCCACAAGATAGGGTGTACAATAAACTAATTAAACTGACAATGCCTGTGAATTATATTTTCATCTATTTACATCTCTTTAACTTGTACTGGTGCAGATAACTGCCACCAAGAGCACCTTAAGAATACTTTGTGTTATTGCACTAATTTATGCATGTAAATTTGACTTCCAGTATAGCAAAATCATAAATAATTTTAGTTTTAGAGTATCACTACTTGCAGTACTCTGGCATTTGGAGTGCAACTCCATATACAGGTACAGTCTTGTAGTTTGTACTCATTCCTACTGCTGCTTTATTTTGAGATTACAGTATTTGTGGTACTTCTACAAAGCAAATAATTCTTTGTAAGAACTCAAGGTTTTCCTTGATGTTTAGATAAAGCTGTGTACACCATCTGTTAATAATAACATTGAATAACGACAAGTTACATTCGACAAAACGGTAGACAGCACTATTCAATGCTGTCTATGGTAAGATGGCAAGCAGATTGATTAATGGGGCTTTGGGAAACTATAGTATTTATAATATTTCTGCCCATTTGTTTGTAGGAAAATTAAGAGCAGCAAATGAAAGAAGTAAAGAATGCATTATGTAAGCAAATGGCTGTTCTTCTTAACTGAATGTGTTTTGGATTTGGTCATGTATATTTTAATAATTAACAATGAATACTAAAAGTAAATTTTATATAAAAAGGACATTACAATTAGGAAACAATAATCAGCATTCAAATTGTTAATGGACAGATCGGGTAGTTTGCGCTTCAGAACATTCCTTTATCGTATTGATTTGCTCTTGTAATATGTGTTGGTTTGTTAAATACTGTAGCTGAAATTTTAGTTTTGATGCAATTTGTTTGTAATTTTCAGATTTCTTCCACCACTTGCCAGACAAGCATTAGACACCATTCTTGATAGTCGGGGCATTAAAAAAATTAGCAGCTTGGAAAATGAGAAGCTTATTTGTGAAGTGAAAGATGGTGTACTTAGGATTGGCAATACTTATGGCCAGGTCTTTGTGCCTGACACCAATACCAAAGTTCCTGATACTCTCTTCTTTGACATACATCAGGTAAGTGTTTCCATTTTTTAGTACAACTTTCCTGGTTAGGCCATCTCAGTGGCTTTCCTAGCTAAGTGTTCTTCAACTACAGAGCCACAACAGGCATGCCAAAGTAAGATAATACTCAGCTTATTAAAGTTGAGCCTGCCAACTTGATAGTGTCCTTTTTTTCTGCAATTGTTCATCAACCTCATCCGGTTATCCCCAATTTCTTACTAATTTGGCTGTTGGTAATTTGCTTTGGGATAAGGTCTGGACTTGGATTAACCTTTAATGGAGTTTGGATTAACTATACACTGCTGGTATCTCAAAGAGTAAGGTTCATGCCAGGCCTCTGAGAGCCAAGTTGACCTACCGGGAACCAGTACCTGAATATATCTTTCGGTGAGAAGTGAGGAACTTGGGAATCGGATATCTTCTAAAGAAAACCAACCAGGAAGTCAGATGAACCAAAACAGACCATTATTTGGGCATAAGAGATAAACAAATGAAAGCATGATAAATAATAGCTTGCTGTTGAAGAACTCTAGTCGTAACTCACCCAGTCATCACTAGATGGGAGTTTAACACACTTGATTTCTTGGCATACCACCTGGCCTACCACATGCCCCCCCCCCCCACCTGGCCCACCACCTACCCCATCACCTACCCTTTCCACTAGCTTGGTATTGCCTTAGAACCATATGTCACTTGCAGGTACAGATAATTAGTATCTATCTTATCTTCGCTATCCTTAGTTTTTTTTTTTTTAGCAGTGTCAATGCCTTGATTTTTGTCTTTCCACTTTATGATTTTGTTTCATGCCACCTACCTTGCATTGAATGTAAAAAAGAAAATATCTTTTCTGGCATTGTGGTCCCTCAATATCTCGTTGTTCCTGCCCTGATCCATATTTTTCCATGGAGGAGGTGTTTGTGTTTCAGTTCTGGTGGCTGGTGAGTGAGGAGGGTGGTTAGCCAGGACCTTAGATAACACGGGCTGCCACTTGGTGGTAGTCAGGCTCGTCGAAGTGAGAGTTGTTTGCTTGCAAAAAAGGATCTTTTGCCTTGTTACCCTCAGATTTTTTTATTTCAAGCAGTAGCTTATTTTGTTCTGTATAACTTTTCAGGTGACTTTTCTTTAGTTTTTGATAGCTCTCTGATTCCAAAGCTTCACTCACGTCGTAGAGAAAGCCAGATTCTGATTCTGGGCCTTGGTAGCTTGGTAGGTAAGCATAGGTTTCAGAAGCCCTGTGTATTTCTTAAGGCTTGGCAACACCAGTGCATAAGCAATGGGGAACTACACAAGGGCCCACCAGAAAATTGTTTCATTATGAACAAATCCACAAGGGGCGTGACGAGGATTCAAACCTGCGTCCAGGAGCATCCCAGACGCTGCCTTAATCGACTGAGCTACGACATGGTTAAAAGAGTTGAAACCGACATTCTAGTGAACTTACTGGATCCCGCAGCCTCTCCGAGACACAAACCAGGGTTGTTCATTTGATGCATCACATTATTGTGATTTCTGTGTGTATTGTTTCATTATATTTAATGCTTCATTTTTACATAAGATATAGTTTTGTACTACAGTAATTGCAAAAAATTTCCTGGAGCCTAGCTTCTTTTCTTTTTAAAATATGAACTTTAAGTATTAATTATTGTAACCTTTCTACAGCATGTTGCAGTGTTGGAGAATATGTTGCAGGATTGGCTGCTTGGTGACCATCTCCTACTTGTCGGAAACCAAGGTGTTGGAAAAAATAAACTTGCTGACAGATTTCTTTACCTTCTCTCTCGCCCACGTGAATATATCCAACTTCACAGGTATGTGGTCATAAGAAATTATCCTTGTTACAGAAAAAGACATTTGGAGACACATGCCTTCATTCCATCTTTGTTTTATGTTATTGATTTGGAATTAAGAAATATGCAGAGATAATGTAAATTTTTTTAAATTTATACTGAGTATTTTCATGTACAATAATGTTGGTTGTGCTAAAATAAATAAAGAATTTAAATTTTTTGGCAGGCATTGTAAGAAATTTGGCTAATTTGAATTTCCACATTATATGGTTTGGGGCCATCCTCATGTGGTCTGAATTGGTGAACTTAGACAGTGTGTTATATATACACCCTTTGTATAAAAATAATGATAACTACAAACAAAATATGATGTCCAAGATTACCTTAATGTTGGACCACAATTGTGTGCAGCTGGCTAGGATGTGTGTAAGCTCCTCACAGTAGTTATCAAACAATGTAAAATGTCTAGAGCAATGGCACAAGATCCTGAGGAGATCTTGTCAGATATTGGTCGTGTCTGATCTCTACCTGGTGGTGTGGGCAGATCAGAGTAATTGTTAACATCAAATTTATGATGTGGTGCTTGTATAGGCGGAGCATCTGTTTTTGTGTGACTGAATCGGCAAAAGTTTGCAATATGAAGGAGAAAGGATTCATGAAACACCATGTGCTTAACAAATAAATTTGTTCACTAAAATTAGATCATAAACTAAATTGTATTTACTGTACACACACACGGAATAGGAATAATTGTCTCTACTAGGTGTCATAGGCAAATCTATGCATAGCACAGCACAAATTGCATGTTCAATATAAAGACTGACATGTGTCAGTCTTTACATTCACAAACACATGCATGGACCAGACCAGCACTGTGGGACATTTTGCTCTGAATGGGTTCACCAGACAGGGTCAAAACGTCCACCAGGCTCACTGGGTCGCAGTTAAGCTCCACAAAATGCGAGTCAGTTGTGTACACAGGATAAATCCAATTTACTCGCTCAACATTCATTCTGCGCACTCTTCTGTCATCGATGAATGGGGAGGTGTGTCTACCAAGGTGTCTGGAATGAGCAGCTGTTGGGAGTGATGGTGCTCTAGAGCTCAAAGGAGCACACATCTTGTGCCATGAACAGCTTCTGCAAGAATGAAGAAAGCTAAGGCTAGAGCAGCCAGACTTGCACTTTACTCATTAAAGTAAAAGCCTACTTACAAAATACTAATCAGATTGCCATTTCAACCATGCATCTGATTGGCTGAACTCTGGGCTTTATTGGTATGGTGGAGAGAGGAGAGAAATGAGATTATCAACAACCATTAGCTGGGTCAGGTGAACCAGGCAACCCAGGCTGGTACCTGTTACACCCAAAAGCTAAGTTTGGGGTGGACCCCCTCCATTGTTGTTTAAACGACTCTCCTAATATAACCAGGCATCATATGTCACCACAGACACGATTTCTGAACTGCTCATGCAATTCCCAATCCATCTACACCTGACATGATGTACTTGTGCCCTTAGGCAAATACAAATGCTCAGTGCACAGCATGCACAGAACTGCATAGTAGCCATATGGTATAAGACTAGCTGAGAGAACACCATTCTCTCACAGATGATAATCGAATTACCTAGGATCATGTAATGATACCTGCACTTTGTGTTAAAATAAATATTTATATAAATATTTTTACTATAGGTGTTTGATTAATTACAGAAGTAGTTTTAATAACAACAACTAGTTTCAGTGATTTGAAGATAATTACAAATTTAATTTCATATAAAAAAGAACCTTATTTTCCTTTCATCTTTATGTGCATCCCTTGTCATTTGTTTTACAATTTTGTATGTTTATATTACATTCAGATTTGCTTTCATTCCAGAGACACAACAGTACAGAGCCTGACAATTCAACCAGTTGTACGAGATGGACGAATTCAACATGAGGATTCCCCTCTTGTTGTGGCAGTCAAGACTGGCCGTGTATTAGTTGTTGATGAGGCAGATAAAGCTCAAACTCATGTTACATGTGTGCTTAAGGTAAATAATACAGATACTGTGCATTCAACCCTCCAAAATCTGAATCATATCATTCTGTACCTGATCCAGATTTTTGCATAAAAGCTGGAATTCTAAATAATTGCCTTTTCTGGGAGGGACCCCCTTCAGTGGTTTCCCAAGCTTATCTAGGGAACCAACAAAGCCTTAGCCGAACACTATGAGGCAAGGGGAAGCAGGGGATCAGAGACTAACCACTAAGGTAAGGAAAACTCAATAGAAAGCATAAGTGCAACATAACAAGCAATTGTGCTTGAAGGGAATTAGGCAACTGTAGGTGAACAAGGCAAATAATCGTTTCCATGTGGTAACTGTCTATGCTGCGATGTGCCTCACTGCCACTAAATAGCAGTCCAGGCCACCTGAGGTCACAACCAGCCTGTCCGTTACTCTTCTGCCTGGTGTCATCAGCCCACACCTATAGTCCTTTCTGGGTCCATCACCTGCTTCTCATTTTCAACTAAGTGGTACTGACTTTTCCTGGAACATAAGTTCTGCTGGTGGCTCTTGTTTTTATTGATTTTGGTACCACACAGATAGTCACAAAGCTACCTGGCCAGGTCTACTTACCACTAGCACCATAAGAAAAGGTAAGTACAAGAAACAATAATAGTTTTGAGGTTGAGCTGAATCCCAGGTCCCTTTTCTTCCTTGAGAGAAGCAGATTATGGCCCTGTGTGCTGGTAGGTTAGAATGGGTCTTTGAGATATGGTTCTAGTGCTTAGCTTTGGGAAGCTACTAAGGGTCTCCATTAGAAAAAGCATCTTATTACATTAAATGCTTGATTGTTTTGCCTATCTTTCTGGTAGGTTTTCTTGGTGTTAGGTCAATCTCTAATTCCCAAGCTCCCTTTGTTTCATAGAGAGAGCCAGATTCAGGTCTTTACTGCCAGCAGGTCAGCATGGGTCTTGGAGACCTGGGGTACTCTTCAAGGGTTGGATTCTCTACAGCACTAGGTACTGAGGGCCCACCAGAAAAGGGCATTTCATTCATTCAGCATTTAAATTTTATGCAAATTTTTTAATACACCTCCCAAAAATCTGCAACTATTTTACTCTGGGATGTTTGTGTTTTGATGCGAAGTAATTCTTTGTGGCTCATGCATGAGTAAGAATGTTTGTTTATTTTCAGACTTTGGTCGAGAGTGGAGAAATGCTGTTATCAGATGGTCGCCGGATTGTGCCCAAGACTCACTCCTTGGCCTCATCGGAGTCTCCAAATGTGATAATCTCTCATCCTAATTTCCGCATGATTGTTCTTGCTAACCGTCCCGGCTTCCCATTTCTTGGGAACGATTTCTTTGGATCATTGGGTAATTATGCTCATTTGTTATAGTTCAAAAAAGGCAGGACCTGCATTCACATACCACAATGCCTACTTTGACATAACCATTTTATACAACACCTCTCCATTTCTGAGCATGGGCCATGAGCCCACCTAGATCACTGTCAATACTCCAGGGGGCCAGATTCACGAAGCAGTTAAGCAAGCACTTACGAACCTGTACATCTTTTCTCAATCTTTGGCGGCTTTGTTTACAATTATTAAACAGTTAATGAGCTCCGAAGCACCAGGAGGCTGTTGATAACAATAACAACAGTTGATTGGTAAGTTTTCTTGCTTGTAAACTGTTTAATAAATGTAACCAAAGCCGTCAAAGATTGAGGAAAGATGTACACGTTCATAAGTACTTGCGTAACTCTTTCATGAATCCGGGTTCAGGTTCTTGTCGACTTGAACCCCATTTGGATACGTTTATTTACAAATTATATTTCTTGTAGTTTAGAGGCAGGGAGTGAGTTGAGAGCACCTCAATCCACTTTCAAGAGAGACTGCTGGTTGTGACACCATAAGAGCATGTAAAATTGCTCAATGCCCACTTTAATGTTTTGCTAGAACTACTGTACCAGGATAGCAAATTATTGCTCTGAAGCTACTTGACTAGCAAACTACCACAACCTTGAATGCCACCAGGTATCAGCACTAGATAGCAGTACAACAGGATGAGAGGAGGTGGTGGCAAACTTTACATTATTCCTTGTGTTCTTCCACAAAGTACTCAGGTTTGCAAAAAAATATTCAGTCAACTGGTTATTCATTGTAACTTTGCCTCTGTGCAGGGAATTCCATGCTGAAGAGTTTTTAACATGGTGTAGTGCCAAGTTATTGTGTATATTTCTGACTTGAGCTGTTTGCTTCAGCTTGCTTCCAGTGTTCTCTCTCCTGGGACTACTGTAAATGCCAAAGGCCAATAGTCACCTGGTTGTTTGAAAGCCTTGAGCATGGTCTGACTCCTATCAGAGATAGACCATTACCTTGATGGTGCTATAGGAACTTTGTCTCTTACCTAGACTTTGTTGATGGGCTTATGTATTAGCTCTTAGGGTCTGTACATGTAATCTCATTAGGGGTTTCACCTCTTGTTTTGTTTTGTTCATTACCCGAGCTTCAGGGAGGTTTTACTCCTCTTCTGTCTACTAAATTGAGGTGTGATGGAATCCCCACTCAGTTTGAAACCTGATTCTAGTGTGCAGTTTCAGAGGTGTGCCTCAGTGTATTTTGACCTCAATGGCCACCACTGTTGATCTCTAGCATACCTCTGTTGAGTGCAAGATCATTTTTACCTGAAAGTGTGTAACAGGTATCAGGTAATGCATCGCTGTTGTTTGGTGTGCATCGACTTCGTCTAATGACAAAATCTAATGACTTTGTCATTAGACATTGAGATGTACAGTAAGTCTTGTCCTAACCATATGCAAAAGACTTTGTATAAATTCTTTACATAAATTTCACAAATACACAAGTGTGGGTTTTTATCCTATGTTATTATGTCTATGAGAAGACATTACCATTACTTATAATAATTATTATTGAAGTTCTTTGTGTAATCACATGTTATTTTTGTATTCAGCTTTTCTTTCCCATATTAAACATTGCCTGAATTTTTTTGTTCTGCATTACAGGTGATCTCTTCAGCTGCCATGCCATTGATAACCCAAGTATGGAATCAGAGATGTCTCTTCTCCAATCATATGGCCCTAATGTACCAGAGGACATCATGCGTCGGCTGGTTGGCGCATTTAGTGAACTTAGAGATTTAGCTGACCAAGGCCTTATTCAGTATCCATATTCAACAAGAGAGGTTGTCAATATAATTAAACATCTTCAGGTAAATGCCTTGAGTATAGAAAGAATGGAGATGACAAATTGATAGAGACACTGTATAAAAGTTAGGCAAAGCAGAGGAGAGGATGGGAATTAGGTAGAAGAGTTGAATTTAAGTGTATGGAATGCATGGGTTTTAGTATGAAGGAGGATATGATGTTGTATTTAACTAGGAACCGTGGGAAAATGCATTATATTTGCCATCCTGGCATTTAGTGCCAAATGGTGAACACATTGACTGATATTACATCTTACACATCCTTATTTTGTCTTTTCCCTGGAGGGTTTGGTGCACTTCTGCTGTGAGGCACCCAAAGCTTGGTACTCCATTTTGTTTATTTTGGATCTGGTGCATTATGTTGGGATGTGGCGGCTGCTTGTCTGTTTCCCATGACACACCGTCTCACAGGTTGCAGTTGTCCCCCAGGCCACATCTTCAGTTGGCTTTTATCTTGCACCTTTGGGGTCATGTGGGGCCCATTTCCAGCCTGTTTAGCATGTGCTTAGCAACCCTGCCGTCTGTCGTTCTGGTTGCTGCCTTAGAGCCTGCATCGATGGCAGAGGGATCACTTCCTGTGCTCTGCTTGGAATGCTTTTTTGTGTCGTCAGTCCTTGTTTCACAGCTCACTCTTATCTGCTGGTGAGATGGAAGTTTGGCTGTGTACATTCTTCCTGACCTGTTTCTCATTTCTAGGCACTTTATGCCTTTCTGGAGGTGGGCCTTGACGTCATTTGACCTTTCATCCTTCAGGCCATTTGCGCGATTTACCACTGCATAAAAAATGCAAATGTTTTGTCTAACCAGGAATGTATGAACCCAAACAACCCATCTAACCTATCAATCTTGAGGTTATCTTGAGATGATTTCGGGGCTTTAGTGTCCCCATGGCCCGGTCCTCGACCAGGCCTCCACCCCCAGGAAGCAGCCCGCGACAGCTGACTAACACCCAGGTACCTATTTTACTGCTAGGTAACAGGGGCATAGGGTGAAAGAAACTCTGCCCATTGTTTCTCGCCGGCACCTGGGATCGAACCCGGGACCACAGGATCACAAGTCCAGCGTGCTGTCCGCTCGGCCGACCGGCTCCCCAAGGAACCCCAATCAAGGCTGGGGTTCTTTTCTAGGGCTTTTAATATTTTCAAAATTTTGCTCCATAAATTATTATTGGTGACTCGAGGTTCTCCACCAGTCTTAGTGTATGGCTTTTCTAATCTATATGTACCACTTTCTGTATTGGGGCACATGAGGTCTTTTTTTTTTATATCACATTTGTGGCCTTTTTGGTAACAGTATGATGGAGTCTCTTTTGTTGACTACTTTTCCATTCAGATCAGTCTTGGTCTCTAGGTTGGGTTCAGGTGTACCTCTTCTTGTCCACTCATTTTGATGAGTTACTATATATCTTTTTGTTTACCCTTTCTTCTGGTTGAAGGGTCAGGGAATTCTGACCTGGAAGGAGAAGTTTTTTATTCAATACAGTTCTGGTGGCTGATTTCTGTTGCTCTAGCTGTCGCCATCATTTCTCACTAGGAGAGTGTCTGTCAGTTTCCATAGTTTTTTTTAGGTTGTTTGTGCTTGATTGCTCCAGCTGAGGGTTACCAGTGTTCTGTCCAGTGGCAGCATTTTTGCTGTTTCCTTCAGGGTCACCCATATGGCTTGGGTGTTCTTGAAATGCAGCCTTGTTCAGTGTTCTTGAGATGCAGTAGTCACTGGATGTTTGTTTTGTCCTACCTGTTGCCCATGTTCCTATGTCACCCACAAGTTATCAGTGTTTTCACTTTCTTCTCTTTTGTGTCTTGGGGTGGCGTTTCAAGGTCGTAAGTTCTGGCATTCTAATTTGGTTTTCACACCTTGGTCCTTGTTCCCAGGCTGCTCACTCCAGGGTTACTAGTATCAGCCCCTTTCCTCCCAATGTTAGGTGCTTTTTTTCTTGTTGTCTGTGATGAAATAGCTTGGAGAGCCATCAAGACGGCCCTTCCTTAAATCCAGTGTTAAATGTAATGAAATGCCACTTTCTGGTGGGCCCCTTGCAGGCTCACCATTCCTGCCCCTCCCACCTCCTGTGGTTGTTACATGGGCAGCGTATGAATGGGGAAGCCAGTTGTCCAGTACCCTTAAGTGGCCAGAGCTGCCATCTAATGGCGAGCGAATGTTACTAACTAGTGGTCTTTTGTTGCCAATGAGCATGTGCATGTTTGTTTCAGGGTTACCAGTGTTGTCCATGCAGATACTCGTTTTATTGCACTACCTTTCTGAAGTTTTTTCCTTTGGATTACTGTAGTGGCCCTAGAATCTCCTTGTCACTTATTGAGGGGACAAGATTTTGTTATTGGTTTCTGATAGGTGTTAGTGAATCTTTGACCCTGGAGTGGTATCCTAAGTTTGGAGCTTAACAGGTGGGTAGCTCTGGGAGCTACTGAGGAACCACTAGAAGAAAATGTTTCATTACATTCAATGCCAGATTTTTAATAATTTTGCTTGTAAAACTACTTCAGTATATTGCTTAATACTTTTGTCTTATAAAAGTTGTGTATATCTTGAATGTAGTAAAATGTAATACTTATGAATATTAATAGTTCTCTACCAATAGTAATATCATCTCTAATATGCCTTATTGATTTGTTTCCTCAGGAATTTCCAGATGATGGTGTCGCAAATGTTGTCCGTAATGTGGTAGATTTTGATTCATGGTCTGGTGATGCCAGAGACACACTCGTGCGTGTCATGCACCATCATGGTGTACCTGTTGACACTTCTCCAAATAATGTGAATTTAGCCAAAAAGTAAGCAAACTTTAAGAATTGTTTTCTATATTTTGTTTAATTCTGTTAGTATCAATTTTTATTACTGCAGAAATTAAATAGAAAAACACATACCAGTTGACTTCACCACACTAAATAACAGGTCAGTGACCATTAACTTGATCACAATAAGTAGCAACTACGTAAACTCTTCGTGCTCTGGATTGGCTAGATGTGTGATTAGTTACATTTTATTGTTATTTGGATTTAACACATTCCAGTTACAAGAAGACTGATACATTAAACATAAATACATTGAAACTAAAAAAAAATTCTTCCTAGAGCTTCTATTCATTACTTTTGATTTTGAGTTTCATGGTAATGTTGAAGAAGAGAGTACATCACTTGTATTATCATGGACACATAGGGCAGGGATTAACATGGATCATAATTAGCTAGGACACAGTGTACATTAATCTGGATCATAATCATTCAAGACACTCAATTCAAGGATTGATCTGTATGTATTTGAGGAATTTAGGAAACATAATACTGTACAGGGATTAACCTGAATCATAATGGTTTCCCATAGTCAGAGCGAAGAAGCCTGTCAAACTTACTAAGGTCCCCCTTGAGGTCAAACTATTGACCTTTTGCAGGATGTAACCCACAACAGTTGGCTAACTTCAGGGTACCTATTTATTGCTAGGTGAATAAAAGCATTAGGTGAAAGGAACTGTGCCAAATTTATCCTCCAGCTATGGGAATTCAACCCAGGACCCTTTGGTTGGTAATAATAGTAAGCCACCTCTCGGTGGTAATGCTTTGAGGTTATCTTGAGGTGCTTCCTAGGCTTATTTGAGGTTATCTTGAGGTGCTTCCTAGGATTAGCGTCCCCGCGGCCCGGTCGTCGACCAGGCCTCTTGGTTGCTGGTCTGGTTAACCAGGCTGTTGGACGCAGCTGCTCGCAGCCTGACATACGAATCACAGAATGGTTGATCAGGTATCAGGCATGCCAAGCCAACTCTTGGTGATTCGGCGATAATAGCAAACCACCTAACCTAATTCTTTATCCTTATAATTTGTAAGTAATCACTGTGCAGATAAGATTATCTTTTGTATGTACCCAACACATTTAATGGTGCTACATAGCTTTCCCGGTTTGGTGCCTTCTTTTGATAATTACTTACTTGTATGTAAGTAAGACCCATAATTATAGTAAAATCTTGTGCACTTTTTTCTGAAGTAAAGAACATCAATATTAATAGGAAGTCACTTCAATGGAAATAGTGAGACACTTGTAGTGACAACTCATAACATGTCCTGGGTTAAAGTGAGTATCATTGCTGGATGAGCATTTACGGCCCTACTGATGGTATCTTAGACATGTTCCAGGAGACCTAGTATAAAATCATTCAGAGCAAAATAATGTTAATACACTTAAATGAAAAAATAAGGCTATAGTATATATTCCATGTTATGAATTTTGGTAGTTGACTCGCAGATCTATCTTGAGGTTATCTTGAGATGATTTCGGGACTTAGTGTCCCCATGGCCTGGTCCTCGACCAGGCCTCCTTTTTTATTACATACCCCCAGGAAGCAGCCCGTAGCAGCTGTCTAACTCCCAGGTATGTGTTTACTGCTTGGTGACAGGGGCATCAGGGTGAAAGAAACTCTGCTCATTTGTTTCCGCCTCAACCGGGAATCGAACCCGGAACCTCAGGACAGCGAATCTGAAACGCTGTCCACTCAGCTGTCAGGCTCCCTTGCAGCTCTGTGCAGCACAATATACGATGTCTGGATTTTTGTACATTTCCAGTACCTAAACTCAGTAGATTTAAATACAGTACTGTATACTGTCAACTTGGCAACCCATGAGGGTCTGTGGGGAGAGTTAGTCTATTGGAATAGTGTCATATTTTCTTGGGAAAATCAGTAGGAGAAATGAGGAGGACCATTGAAACCTGCACACTTGGTACTCTCATGCACATGTTTTAGGGCATGTGCTTGGGAATGGCAAGGGTGCAGGTTAGATTCCTCCTCAAGGCTCCTACAGATTTTCTCAGTGATACATCACGTTAATGTGATTTCTTTGTTTGTATTGTCTTCCTTACTTTGTCAATAAATATTACTGTACTCTAAAAATCAAAATGCAATGAAACAAATATTTTTACTGATTGTTGTATCCTAGGAAATAACTATAGGTCCATTGTCTAGCCACCTTCACTGAACTCAAGTTGAACTGAAATCTTACTACACACAATATATTATGGGTCTATTATTTTGACCACATAGAATAGGAACACTTAAAAATTAATTGGTATTTACTGTACGATATTAGGAAATCATGTATTATACTTTATTTAAAAAATTAATTATTGATAATATGCATAAACTATTTATTATATTTCAAAATTGATTAAAATACATTAATGCAACAGGTGAAAGACAGTTTAGCATCACACAAATTTTTAATGTTAAATGAAAGTATGTAATTCTCTCTTAGGTAAATTAAACTTTGAATAAATTATTTTGTGATTCCCCTATTAAATAATAATACTGTATAAAAACACTAACAACAATTATATAAAAATAGAGGATGTGATTACAATATTGACATAGTAGATATTTATATATATTTTGTTATAGCACCAGTAATCATGTACAGCTGGGAGACATTTAGTATGCTTCCTCTGTAAACACAGATGGAACTACTAATTTTAAATATTATTAACAGTTGCTATACAGTATATCAATAGAAATTTAAATTTTTAGGAAGGTAAAAAAAATCAGCAATATCAAATATTTTGCTGTATGACTTGAGACTTCAGTTATGGCAGTAATTTTTGAAGTACAGTAGTTATTTCTATAACAAATAATAAAGAAAACTATATTTTCAATTTGTTTGATTTACCTGTATCTTTCTGACATACCAGACTACCGCTGCCAGAACCAAAGTTAATGGCTACATGGCAAGTCTCTCGCCGATTCCCAACCGGAACAAGATCTCTTGTAAATCTGCCTGTTGAATCATCTCACATTAAATTTAAGGTAGGAAGTAAGATCATTTGCTACCTATGTATTAGATTTAAGGCAGGCATTTAGGTACTATGCTTCTTTTGTGAAATTTAAACTTAAAAATCCTGGAAAATTGTGAAAAGAAATTATTTATATATTAATTTTTCATCTTTGGATAAAGTTTCATTGATTTTGTGGATAAACCAATTAATACACGAGCATTTAAAATAGACCAGTACAGTGAAATCTTGTTCAAGCAGATTGCAGTGAACTCTTGTTTGGCCAGAAGGAATTGACTTAACTGACAAATTTATAATGTACTGTACCAGAATAAGGTATCCACTTCCCCATGCAGTCTTGTTTGAAAACCAAACTCGATAAATGCAGTCCTACATAATAATTTTTATCGTGTTAAACCCCTCTGTAACTACCTGGAGCTCATGATGCTGGTATTGCTAGGTCACCCATGGTCCCCTCTTTTTTTCCTTCCTCATTCAATTTCATACCTGACTGTAGTTTACAGTTTTTCAGGATGTCTTTCTGTATTTTTGGACACAGTTTGTTATTCCTGTGTCTCCGTCATTTAGCCTATTGGGTGCAGAAGATTTTGCACTTTGGTGTGTACTATTTGTTGGCACTGACCTGTGTCTTTTCCAAGCCATATTTCTCGGTGGCTCTTCCTTCATGGCTGTCAACAGTGCTTTGTTTGCTCTAGCCCTTACCTTTGAGGTTGGGGCTTGGCAGCTCCACATCCATGTACTCAGGTTAATGCAAGTGTTGATTGCAGTGGACTACAAGGCTCACACTAGCATGGTACTGGTTCCCTGTTCCTGTGCAATGCAAGAGATCTCTGATCATTTGCAAGTTGATCTTGGTTCTTCATCTAGGAATTATTTATCTGCCTTGTTGTGTGCTGCTGCAGTCATGAATACTGTTGCCTAGGTGCCTACAATTCAGCCCCTCTCTCCTGTGGTTTCAGATGAGATTCAGATTTAGATTCAGATGTTTATTCAGGTAAGGTATATACATACAAGTGATGTTACATTAATGGATTGATATATAGATAGAGCTAGTACATACAATGCCTAAAGCCACTATTACGCAATGCGTTTCGGGCAAGAAAAACATTAATATCTAGAACTTAATACTAATTGAGCATAAAGAATAAAAGATGTTGAGAACAAATACAAATAAAGATAAAAAAAAAGGGGGGACATGACTGAAAAAGCAGCACAAATACAATAGGTTGACAAACAGTGTTTATTAAAAAAAAAGAAAAAAAAAAAAGAAAAGAAAAAGAAAATAACAGACATGGGTTGACAACAGAGGAGTGAGGTAGATTACAGGGAATTTATTAGGTAGTGTTTAGTTTTTATCTTAAACTGGTTGAGAGAGGTACAGTCTTTAACATGGTTGGGAAGGTCATTCCACATTCTGGGCCCCTTGATTTGCAGAGCATTTCTAGTTTGATTAAGACGTACTCTAGGAATATCAAAACTGTATTTATTTCTGGTGTGGTGCTCATGGGTTCTGTTACAACCTTCTATGAAGCTTTTAAGATCAGGATTGGCATTATAGTTTAGCGTTTTATATATGTATAATACACATGAGAGAATGTGCAGTGACTTAATATCTAACATATTAAGAGATTTGAGTAGGGGTACCGAGTGATGTCTGGGGCCAGAGTTGGATATTGTTCTAATAGCGGCTTTGTGTTGGGTAATTAGAGGACGTAAGTGATTTTGGGTAGTAGAACCCCAAGCACAAATACCATAGTTGAGATAAGGATAGATAAGGGAGTAATAGAGAGTCACCAGAGCAGGGCGTGGTACATAATATCTGATCTTAGAAAGAATGCCCACAGTTTTTGAAACTTTTTTTGATATATTTAGAATGTGTCCCTGGAAATTCAGCTTGTGGTCAATGAGAATGCCAAGGAATTTGCCATCTAATTTGTTACAAATTTGGGTATTGTTTATTTTGAGATTTATAAGACTAGAGGATTTATTGCCAAACAGAATATAGAAGGTTTTGTCAATGTTAAGGGTGAGTTTGTTGGCAGTTAGCCAAAGATGGACTTTATTTAGCTCAGTATTTACTGTGGCATTTAGAGCAAGAGGGTCAGGACTGGAGTAAATGAAGGTTGTGTCGTCAGCAAATAGAATTGGTTTGAGGTGTTGGGAGGCATTTGGAAGGTCATTAATGTAGATGAGAAAGAGGAGAGGGCCAAGTATGCTGCCCTGAGGAACACCAATGTTGATGGGTAGGGTGGGAGAAATTGTATTATTCACAGAAACATATTGGAGCCTATCAGTAAGGTAGGACTCGAGGTATTGTAGGGAGTGTCCTCTGACTCCATAATGATGTAATTTAAGAAGAAGGTTTTGGTGGTTGACAGTATCAAAAGCTTTACGCAGGTCCACAAATAACCCAACAGGGAGCTCCTTTTTATCAAGAGCTGTATGAATCGAGTTAAGCATACTAATAAGTGCATCGTTAGTGCTTTTTTTGGGTCTGAAGCCATATTGGCAAGGGCTAAGTATATTGAGTTTGGCTAGATATGAGTAAAGCTGCTTGTATATAAGTTTTTCAAAAATTTTTGACAAGTTTGGCAGGATTGATATAGGTCTGTAGTTGTTAACATCTGTGGGGTCACCACATTTGTGGACAGGCGTTACTCTCGCTTTTTTTAGAATATCTGGAAAGGTTTGGAGTTCAAGTGACTTGTTGAAGAGCAAAGCAATAGCAGGGGCTAAAGATCTGGAGGCTTTTTTGTAAATTAAAGTTGGTATCTCCTCAAGGGCACCAGACTTGGTTTTAAGGGAAAGGATTATCTCATTGACGTCAGTGGAGTTAATAGGCTTTAGGTACAGAGACTGTGGATAGTTACCTGTAAGATAGTCCTTAATGTCAGTACTGGAAGATGGAATATCATTTGCAAGGGATGAACCAATGGAAGAGAAGAACCTATTGAACTCAATAGCAGAATCAGAGGCTGAAAGCTGACCATCGTTATTAGACAGGAGAGTCGGTTTGTTATTTAAAGATTTCTTTGATCCCAATATTTGTGAAATTGTGCTCCAAGTTTGTTTAATGTTGCTCTTTATTTGAGTAAATTTATCTTCGTAGTAATTAGTTTTGGCTCGTCTAATTATCTTAGCAATAATGAGTAATTCTTTGAGAATTCTTTGGAGACAATTCCTAACCTATACTTCTTCTCAAGGTCGTGTTTTTTGTTAATGGATTTCAGTATTCCCTTTGTAAGCCAAGGATTGTTAAGCCTTTTGCTTGTGACTTGTTTTGTAAGCCTAGGACAGTGAGTGTTATAAAGGCTAAGAGTTGTTTGTAGAAAAGATTGCACTGCTAGGTTGATGTCCCCTATGTTACCTAATTCGGACTCCCAGTTGACATTATCAGCAGCAGTTATAAAATTGTTTAAAGCAGTTTCATTGTGCAGCCTAAAGCTTAACTCCCTTGTTTCTAGAGGTGGTTTGCTAATGTTAGTTAAGAGAAATGTGGGGTAGTGGTCTGTAGTGCTATCGGTGATTATACCTGAAGTAAGCGGAGAGGTTATGTTGGTCCAGATGTGATCTAGAGTCGTGGCAGTGCTATCAGTGATTCTAGTAGGTCTAGTGATTAAGGGTATGAGGAGGCAGGAATTCATACAGTTGAGGAAGCTAACAGCAGTAGGGTGTTCTGGCTCGCAGAGGTCAATATTAAAGTCCCCTGCGATAATTAGGTGGTTTTTGTTCAGTCTGTTATCAAGTATTAGATTACTAAGGTTTGAGTTGAATACAGACACATCAGTGTTGGGAATTCTATAAACTGCACCCACAGACAGGACAGACTCGGCACCCTTGACTCTGAAGCTGGCGAAGATATACTCCCCATAGCAGTCTCTAGTTCTAATTTCTTTTAAGCATGTTAGTTCTTGGTGGTAGTAAAGAGCAGTGCCACCACCTCTCTGAAGTTGACGACAGTTGTGAATTGCTGAGTAGTTAGGCATGTTAAAGAGTTGAGTAGTATCCTCTTTCAACCATGTTTCAGTAAGTATAATAAAAGAGAATTTGTTGCCAATAGTTTCAATCAAGGCACTAACATCATCGAAGTGTTTACCTAGGGATCTAACGTTCAAATTGATTACAGAGATATTGTGATTATGAGTTAATACATTGTTTACATCATGTGCTGCAAAATATCTGCAATTTAGATCATTAAAGTGATTATTGTCATAGATAGTGGATAAGAGGTTAAGTTCTGGGTCTATACTTGACTGCATAAAAGAAGCTGATTGTGGAATCAGAAATAAGTAGAAAAAAGCTATAAAATAGGGAAAAATATATACACAATACTGTACAAAACAAACACAAAAGGGGCTTACAGGGGTACAATGGAGTAAGGGAGTATGGCTAGGATAGGCAACCTAGGCAATTAATGAGATTAAAGAAAAAACATGTAAACATGGACTATACAAAACACAAGATATGGAAATACAAAACAAAAAATATAAGCAAGACTAAGCAATACAAAAAAAAAACAAATTGAGCAAAAATGAGGTAGATTGCTTACGAGTACTCACAGGTACACTGTAAGTAACAAATTGCAATTTGAGATGCAGGCAAAGCCAGGGGTACAATGGAGTAAGCCTCCTAAGCATTAACCTCCCCCTCCAGTTTCTGCTAGAGAAATCTCGGCTTACCCATTGGGTCCTCAAGTGCTACTTGGATAGCTTGAACTTTGCCTGCATGGTTTACCCTCAAGGTGGCAGTATGAGGTGACTTGAAACATTCTGCATGTTCATTTTGCATCAGCATCTGTTCCGATGTCAGTGTCCATTGTAAAGTAGTTTCTGTTTGACTACTTTCCTTGATCGCCTGTTAACCCTTTGCACTGTGCATAACTTCTTATGCTGTTCAACCGATGGTGTGCATCATATCATATCCTGGTAGTACAAGGGGTCCCGGTAGTACAGTCGGGTTTGTTCTCAACCCACAATCAAGAACTCCGGGTTCAAATCCTGGGCGAGATAGAAATGTCCTTTTACCTAATGCTGCTGTTCACCTAGCAGTGCGTAAGTATTCAGGAGATATTCAGCTTGTTGTGGGGTTACATCCTGGACAGAGTCAGTAATTCGGCCTTGGGGGTGTGGGGGAGTGGGGATCCTCGATAAAAGCCAAACATGTGTGAATACACTCTGGCTTCCTGTCCCCTGACACAGTGCATTATTATTATACAGTATTAATTATATAATAATTTAGATCCAGTGCAACCATGATTTTGGCAAACTATATGGGACCAATCCTGACTTAATTCATTAGAGGAAGGGATTTGTAGCAACCGGGTGTAACATTAGTTTAATCTATACTGTGTGATTCTAATTGTCTTGATAACTCCTGTGCTATTGTAACACCAGTTTATATCTACTCTGTGGTGGTGAGAAGTAATCAGAGTAAGATTGGGTTGACTGTGTCTATCTGAACCTAAAACAGGCTTTTGACCTGTTTGTGAGAGTTCGACACAAGAGGTTGTTTTGGAAACTGGAATATGCTGGAGGGGTGACAGGGAGTCTTCTTACATGGATGAAATTTTTTTGGATAAAGATGAGGGCAATAATCAGTGGCAATGTATCTGACTGGAGGAGTGTTACTAGCAGAGTACTGTACCACAGGATTAAGTTCTTGCACAAGTAATGTTCGTCGTCTACATAACCAATCTACCAGAAGGAATACAAAATTATTTGAACATGTTTGCTGATAATACTAAGCTGTTAAAGAAGATAGGAGACCTAGATGATTGTCATGCCCTTCAAATTGATCCAGATAAAATATAAAGTGCTTGAAGTGCCATGTGGCAAATTGAATTCAATGTGAATAAATGCCATGTTATGAAATGTGGAATTGGAGAAAATAGACTGCAAAACAACTTACAAATAATGTGGGAAGGAATTAAAGAACTCTAGCAATGAATGAGATGTAGAGGTGGTTTTGGATAGTAGACTGTCACCAGAAGAACACACAAAGAACATTGTGTAAGGAGCATATGGATCACTTTCCAACTTCAGACTTGCTATTAATTACATGGATGGTGAAATACTAAAGAAACTGTTCATGACTTTTGTGAGACTTTTGTGGAGGGCGCCTGACAGCTGAGTGGACAGCACTTCGGATTCATAGTCCTGAATTTCTGGGTTTGATCCCCGGTGGAGGTGGAAACAAATGGGCAAAAAGTTTCTTTCACCCTGATGCTCCTGTTACCTAGCAGTAAATAGGTACCTGGGAGTTAGACAGCTGCTATGGGCTGCTTCCTTGGGGGGGGAGGTGTAACAAAAAAGGAGGCCTGGTCGAGGACTGGGCCACGAGGACACTAAGCCCCAAATCATCTCAAGATAACCAAGATAGACCAAAATTGAAATATGCAGCAGTTGTATGGTGCCTATACCTCAAGAAGCATATAAAAAAAAATTGGAAAATGTGCAAAGACATGCTACAAAATGGCTTCCAGAACTGAAAACAAGAGTTACGAAGAGAGATTGGAGGCGTTAATAATGCCAAAACTAGAAGATAGAAGGGTTTTACACAACCCCTCCTGGTTGTGTAAAACCCTGGTTTGTGTCTTAGAGAGGCTGCAGGATCCAGTAAGTTCAGCAGAACTTCGGTTTCAACTCTTTTTGACCATGTCGTAGCTCAGTCGATAATGGCAGCGTCTGGGATGATCTGAGACGTAGGTTTGAATCCTCATCACGGCCCTTGTGGATTTGTTCATTCGATGCATCACGCTATTTTGATTTCTGTGTGTAGAGTGGTAGATGGTTGGAACAAGTTAAATGAGAAGGTGGTGGAGGTCAAAACTGTCGGTACAGTAGTTTCAAAGTGTTATACGACAAAGAGTACTGGGAAGATGGGATACCACGAATGTAGCTCTCATCCTGTAACTACACTTAGGTAATTACACAATCACTCATATACTTATGGTACAGTATATGCAGACATACTGTTCAGGTTTGTAATGAATCTCTCTTTGATTATGTTAATGCAAGTATTTTTCTTTACAGAGTCCAGTTCAGTTGAATGTGTATCATCATTCAGTTGATGTAACAGAAGCTCGATCAGCTGTGTTCACAGAGCAGCAAAGCTATTGGCCGCTTCCTTTATATGACACAGCACTAGTGACAGATATTACTGTCAGTCCAGGAGGCACTCTTAATCCAATTGATGATCACATACATGTTGCCACTGTAGCTCCTTCTGCTGTTTATTCTTTTGTACCCAGAGGGAAAGATAATCAGTTAAAACAGATACTTCTCCATGATGTCCTTCCGCGTTATCGTTCTGCTTACCAGCCACGGATACGACTTGCACATTTGCCAAACAGAAATTTGGTTATCCATGAAGAGGCTTCTAACACACTTTTAACAGTGGACACGGACACTGGCTTAGTGACTCACATCCAGCTTAGCTCATTATTTGAAGCTGCAGCCGAGTCACTGCTGAAAAGGCTGGGTTCAGGTGGCGGAAATCAAACCTTTTTTCGGATGTGTAAAGGTAAAGTAGAGCAAGGGCAACTTGCATTATGGGAGGTTGGTGGTGGGCAGATAATTTTCATAGATATTAACAAGGAGACCAGTCATTCAGTTAATTTACCACTTTGTCTATCTTCTTTCCATCCACTAAATGGAAGCTATCAGTGGGTGGCTGGTGATCAAGAAGGCTACAAGTGGTTATTGAAAGGTAACATGCACAACATTGTTCTTCATCCAGTAACCCAAATACCAGGTCAACAAGATTCTAGTGAGATAAAGATATCTACTATTGCTCCAAATATTTTAAGTGACTTTGTGTTGTCTTCAGCACTTAAGCAACAGGTTAGTGCTCCTAGTCATCTTTTAGCTCCTTCTAATGCATTAGCTGCTATAGCTGTAGGTTTTCCAGAGCTTGATGCAAGTGAGAATGAAGTATATATATGGGAACGTGATGGAATTTCATTGAAGACTCCCCCAGCAGTAAGTGACCCAGCTAGCTTTACTGTTTTGTTAAACGATTCTGGACAGATAGTTAGAACTGTTGACCAGGCCCCTAGAGATGCATTAGAATATAGCATCGCAGCTACAAATACAAGTATTTTTCTAGAAGTAACAGATTTGATAAATCATAGCATTAGCTACATTCCTGTTCCCCAAGCCTCTCAATCTTCTCCACATTGGGCCTGGTCTGTAGCAGCTCGCACATCTCCACTTTTCTTGGCTGCAACCAGTGGTCAAGGTCTGGCTTCAGTAGACTCTGCTGGAGTTGTACGTCTTTGGCAAACAGGAAGTGTTGGCTTACAGAAAGCTCTAGCAGAGTGGCGTAAAATGATTGGTAATGATACGGGCCATCTTAGACTAGATATTGATCGCTTTAGTGGTGAGGATGTCACTGAACCTAAACATGGAAAGGAGGATCCTTCAAATGATCCCCATGTAGGAGGAAATACTTGGGCAGGTGGCACAGGTGGACGTGATACCGCTGGCCTTGGAGGTAAAGGAGGACCATATCGGTTAGATGCTGGACATGATGTTCATCAAGTTTCCGAAGTGGAAAAAGATGCTGTGCCTGAAGAAGTGAGGCGTGCTGCACGGGAAATGGCACAGAAAGCCTTCAAAGAACGCTTGAGGGAAATTAGAATGAGTGAATATGATGCTTCTCTTTATGAGAAACTTGCTGGTGGTGTACAACAACAGGTACGTGCATTACGCAGTATCATAAACTCCCTACAGGCAAAAGGAAAGGAACGCCAGTGGCTTAGGCATCGCACCTCTGGAGAGTTAGATGACACAAAATTAATTGAAGGTTTGGCAGGAGAACGAAATATATACCGGCAAAGACGTGAAGAGGAACCAGAAGTAGGGGCACCACAAAGTCACCCCAAACGTCTCCGGTTAGTTGTTGATGTGTCTGGATCAATGTACCGTTTTAATGGTCATGATGGTCGTCTCGAACGTGAACTTGAAGCCACGCTCATGGTTATGGAGGCATTTGAGGGGTTTGAGAATAAATTTAAATATGATATTTATGGACATTCTGGTGAAGAGGCTGCTGTACCCCTGATAGAGTGTGACAATATTCCACGAAACAACAAAGAGCGTTTGGACGTGTTAAAAACAATGCAGGCTCATTCACAGTTTTGTCTTAGTGGAGATCATACTTTGGAAGCTGCAGCTGAGGCTGTGAAGCACATAGCAACTGAGGAATCTGATGAAAGCTTTGTAATCCTACTGTCTGATGCAAATCTGGATAGGTATGGAATCAGACCCAGTCAGTTATCTAAAGCTCTTACTGCTGAGAGCACAGTGAACACATATGCAATTTTTATTGGGTCTTTAGGTGATCAAGCAGACAGATTAACAAAGGCTCTTCCTGCTGGACATTCATTTGTTTGTCTTGATTTAACAAAGCTTCCGCAGATCTTACAACAAATTTTTACTTCAGCTATGTTAAAATAATTGTACAATAGATTAATTCATTCATAATTAATGGCACCATAAATGGTTAAAGTGTTTACAATAAATTGGCAATGAATGAGATAATAGACTGGTTATTCTTTATCCCATACAGAAGCACTGTTGAGGAGAAAAGTGCAATAGATACCTATCAATATATTTATTGAATTTTGTGTCCCCGTGCTGTGGTCTACATTTTTTAGGTTTTCTGTGTACAGTACTGTGCTGTATTTGTGATATTTTTATTTTTTTTATTGCCACGGCAAACTTCATTGTTTGCTTGCTTTATTTCAATTGTACAACTACCAAATAAGTTTGTGGAATATTATGGCAAAATGTATCGGGTGTTCCTTGAAAATTCTTTAGCACAAGAAGTGTCTTAAGATTTAGAGAACCATTGAACAGCCTTAAAAAAATAATATTCCTAGAACAAAGTTTATTAGACTTGCAGCAATATATACAGATGAGTAGCAAAAACCATGTTCAAAGATGAAGTTGACATCTTGGGCATAAAGTCTGACTCTGACCATAAAAAGTCACATGCTTTACCTAGCAACCAAGGCAGCTAAGAAATTTACAGCCTTATAGCAAATTTCATACCTTCCTGACAGCAGGGGCTGCAAGACCTTATATAATGCTCAAGTTCACTCCTAAACTAAGTGTGCACTGCAATCCTGGAAGGCCTAAACCCCCCCCCCCCCCTCCTCATTTATCAGATTTTCTGGATAAGGTGGAGAACTATGTGCACACACACACTAGTTTTGACCTATTCTGGTTGGATTGGTCAGCACAGCAAAGCCTTCAACACTGCAGAGATTTTGGAATACTTACTGTTATATACAGACAAATGTTTTCAAGGTTCCCTATCTAGCCAAATTTCATAGACAACCAGAAATTGACAATCGCAACACAAGGCATTCGGCAATAAACAGCCTTATGCTGACTGCATTTCTCAACAACTTCATTCCATCAGCGATCAAGAAATCAAGTTAATTGACTGTATGAAGGCTTTGTCACGCAGTTGTTCTTAGCTCATCCTGTTTGCTATTTGATAGTTACTTAGCATTAAATTTTAGTTTATTCATAATTTATACAAATAATAATCTAAAAAATAAATGAGTTTCTTGTGGTAGGCTTCAGATAAGTTGATGTAGGATAATAGCTTTTAATTTGCAGTTTCCTTGGGAACATTAGCACAATTCCTAATGAACCCTAGACTTAGTTAAAAAATTTCAAGGTAATCCATTGTAATGTCAACAAGATTTGGGACCAGAGTAAACTGAGATAGTCTTAACACTTTTATGTTTTATTTTTCTTTGTAAGGCCAGAGGTACACAAAAACACAATATCAAGTCAATAATATATATTCTCTGAAGTGTGCCTGAAGGCTTTATAATGGCATCAAGTATAATTTTTTAGATGGAAGGCATAGCGAGATGCAGCAAGGGTAACAAGTCCTTGGCATCTGGAACGATACTGCTGCTTGAGATCGAAGTGGAGAAGAGAGGAGCATCTTTCAGAAGCATACTGGAGTCATTTATTCCTATGCATCCTGTGGTCATCAAAATCCAATATTGGCCATTTCTTATCTCTAGCCATTTTAAGCATGTTGAGTTTTGCTGGGTTCCCAGCCATATTGGTGTTCCCTCAAATGAGTATATGGTCACTGTCATTAAGGAGGCTATCTGTACTTGTCCTACTTCCCAAAAAGGTATTCTTCAGGAACTTTCCAATTTTTACCCTGTCATTCCTCAATCCATGTCTTGTGGCAGGATCATTGACCTTGTGTTACTGGTAACAAACTGCATGCTCTTAAGGGTAGTCTGCCACCTACCACTGTAACTGGTGGGGAAAATGGCTCTGGCGAGGTTATGTATTAGCCATACACATCTCACTTGTGGGCACTTAATACGGGCCCAATACAGAAACTGCTCCATATTGTCCAAACTGCCTTATCCCTCTTACTGGCATGCATCTCCTTGTTGAGTGTCTCAATTTTCAGGAAGTTCATGTGTCTTTCTTCCTAACTGTTCCTCATGGTCATTTGTCTCCTGATAGAATCCTTTGTGAATTCAATTCCTTTGATATCATACTTCTTATGTACTTTTGTTCTTGTATTGGCATCCTCAGAGATATTTAACACCTTTTGAATATCCAGCAATACTGATGGGGCTACAGTGTCTCCCCAACTTGGTACCTTTTGATAATTACTTACTTTCAGAAGCATAGAGAATCCAATGCTCCTTGTTTGGTTTGGTGTTGGCTTACTACCTATGAACATCTGGAAGGTTATTAAGGTCAATAGCTTACTGATCAATCATCAAAAGTGTACTTTAGTCTTGAACATGCATAGTCCAAGATTAAATAAACTTTCAAGTGGATTTACACCAAGAAGCAAGTTAAACCACTCTGTGTTTATATCACATGCCTTATAAACTAGTGGCCAGGATCAATGCATAATCTTCAGTAGTGCAGCAATCCATGATGAGATGCTATGCTACACCATCTATCATTGTACTACGATGCAGAAAAAGCCACATATCTAGGTGTCATTCAATATGGTTAGCAGAATTATAAACATAACTATATTGCTAGCTTTAGGCTTAATTGGTTATATGTATCTCTGGGAGTTTGCATCTCCTGTTGATGTAGACCTGACCAATTGTAAACTTTGTCAGCCTAAAAGCACTTATACTCTACATAATTATACAAATTAATGTGAAAAAATTCAAAGAATTTAGAGCCAGCTCTATCACAAATGGTTAAGAATATGAAGTGGGTGGTGGGTGTTGCATGGTGGTGGGATGGGTGGATGGTTCGGTGTTTAGCTGTGTGCTGCTTCAATGATTGGCTTAAGGACAAGGTTGACTCCTTCTTCTGGTCTCAAGATGAAGGGAGATGAGGAAATCTTCAGCTCCTTGTGGCCAGGTGAGAGATGCAAGTCTGCTGCTAGCACCAGCTTGGCCAGGGCCACCTTGGCTTCCATAAGAGCAAACCGCATTGCTAGAATAAAAAATGGGTTTAATTCACAGTAACATAACCTGAAAACTCTCTATATTTTGGGCAGGGTTCAGATTAATGTAGCTAGAGAAATGTGATAAAGTAACGGAAAACAAGTAATATTTTTGCATTAAAAAAATTGGCAAACTAACCTATGCAGTTCCTAGGTCCCATCCCAAAGGGCAAGTGAGTGAAACTCTTGATGTGGGTCTTGTTCTCTGGCAGGAAGCGGTCCGGTTGGAACTCTTCAGGCTCTGGCCAGTACCGAGGGTCATGGTGCAGGCTCCATATGGGCACAGTCACTAGGTCACCTGCACGCAGGATCAGCTCGGTGCCAGGGATCCTGTATTTATCATTTTATTTTTAGTAATCTGAAAGTAGCAAGGCATCATACAAACTTGGACAACATTTTGCTTGTAGCGAGTAAACATTACACTCACTTCAATCTCTCATTACCTTAATGACATTAGAACTAATTATGACTACTCAAATCCTTTCCCTAATTACAGGTAACATTCTTTCCATCCTATTGGAGGAAACTAAGGTGTAGTCCAATAATATAAGCATTCAATAAGCAAGTAAGCATTAGTAAAATTTCCACAGAGATTCAGTTAACTTCAGTACAGACGACTCAGATTTACCACACCTCTTCAACCTCAAGAATGTAGCACTCGGCGTGTACAGTTTCAACCGACCTCAAGACGCTACAGCTTCGACACAGAGCAGACAGCAGACTATGACCGCATCGAGCACTCTCATTCCCCATCGAGTTTAGACACTCACGATTCCTCATCGAACCGCCATGTTCTCCCGCATAGAGCTCCGCGACTCTGGCCTCACTCAGCTCTCTAAGCTCCGTCTTAACGTCTACAACACTGCTGTATCCAAGACTACTAAATATAAAAATCCACTAAACATAGTGTATCTAATCTACCCAACAGCGTAACATAATCATTACATGCACAACAAATGTACTGGAGATGATAGATGAGAAGTATCTGTTGTTCATATAAGTTTAAGGTAGCAATGGAGGACAGTTGTAACACTACGTCAGATGGTTTACATGTGGGACGATGTGAACCAGGACTACTGAAAGAACCACAGGGAGAGATACAGGAGATGGGGCAAAAAATAGAAGAGTGGAGCTTAAGTACTGAACTCGCTCTACTCCTCTGCAGCCTCAAGAGCAACGATCCCAAAGAAATTGTACTCCAGGGGGTTGGGGATGCAAGAGACAATGCAATAAAAACAATTGGAAAAGGAGACGGCTACAATAAGAAACCAGTATTAACAGTGTTACACACACTTGAAATCACACTTAACGTGATATACAGTATATCGCTGAGAAAATAAACTGGAACTCGAACCTGCGACCTCATTGATTTTCTCATTAACAGTGTTATTAGCAAAGGCTCAACAACTACAGAATATCCTTCTCTCCACCCCCCCTCCCCCCCAGCCACACCAAACACCCAGGGTTGATTGTAATGAAATGCCTCACTGGTAGTGCCTCGGTGACTCCCTGAAGCTATCTCGCTAAGATGATTTCCCCTACTGAATTAGATCAGCCATGGGAGTCTTATATGGCCTGTCAAGAGATCAAAGCCAGAACCTGGCCCTACCTCACATGCAAAGGGAGCAGGAGTGTGTTATGATCACTCTCACTGATAAATTATCTAGAAAATGAGAAGCAATACAGACAAGTGTAAGTTCAAGGAAATTGAAGCATCCAAACAACTCTGCAAACTAGTTGTGAATGGTCACCTATATGTGGCAATAACATGGGAGCTCCAGGCTTTCGCTCCATCTTTGCCTTTATCTGCAGCTGAATGACTGAGAACCGGGAGGGAATCGGGGAATCAGACACTATCAGAGAGAGGCATTTTATTACATTCAGCATTGGGTTTCTGGACGAACCTCTTGGTGGCTCCCTGAAGCTATTTATCTGAACTTACCTGAGGGCCACCAACAAGCTAGGCCCTCGACGAGGACAGGAAGCCAATGGCTTGTCAAAGGCCCCCCCCCCCCCATTCGCCATGATGACTTTTTCCAGCAGGATTTTAAAATTTAACAATTTTGGCATTTAAAACAGATCACTATTATCTAACAACAGAGAAGATGAGAAAATAAAGACTCACCAGGGAGCAGGAGAATGGCAACAACACTGATGAAGACAAAACATTTGGACAGGAAACCTGACCCATGATGATAAACACCAAAATGGGACTAGGAGCACTAACCAGATATCAAGATGCTAAGACTCTGTTAGACCTCAAAAACACCCAAGTCCAAATGCCTGTCCACGACATGTCAAAGAACATGGTGGCCAAAGCTACAAACCTGTGAACATCATGGGCCCCAGAGTATACCACAGACTATGAGGGGGTGGCCAGAACCTGGGCCCCCTCATGGAGGCACAAGTAGGGAATTTACGATCACCTTCATCGAGAAAACGTCCAGAAAGCAAAGCCATACAGACTACTACTTTAAGATTAAAATAAAAGCAAGTACCAAAACAGCCAAAAAGCTCTGCAAACAACTCATTAAGAGCCAAATGATTCACTCCAAACTAATTCAGACCCCCTAGTTGTGAATGGCCACCAACTAGGTGGCAGTACCACGGAAGCCCCAGGCTTCTATGCCCAAGTCCTGTTGCTGTTTGTGAATCTCTACTAGTCACCGGCCATAACAAGTCCTACGTCTTTTCGAGATAAGTGCAGGCCATCCAGTGAACACTGTTCTGTGGAGGCCATTTGCTTGCGTTTCATTCCTAACTTTAAGTATTTGCTTCATGCGAATGTTTCAAGCCTCACTTTCTGCATGGAATTGGTCTATTCTTTGCTTCTAGGTGCATGTGTTTGAGGCAACTCTTCCCTAATTGCTTATTTAGCATTGCTCCTGAGAGTGAGAGGCCAGGCTACTATGTAGAGAGCCCCACCCTGAGTAGTGCAAAAACCAATTCTATTTGCTGATGACAACTTTCATTTTCTCAAATGCTAACCCACTTATTCTAAATTACACAGTAAATAATGAACTAAAACAAACCAGCATTGAATGTAATGAAACTTCAATTTCTGGTTGATCCCCAATGGCTTGGCTCCCTGAAGCTAATATTACTGATAGTATAAGGCCACCTACCAGGTCGTATATAAGAGTTAATACTAAATACAAGAATTAAACACACTGGTATACTTCATCAAAAGTGTCTCTACTTTACAATGTGCACTGAACGACAGCTATGGCATAACTGACGCATCAGGGACCCATGTTTGTGTGCAAGTGCCGAACAAAGAGCTGACTACCAAAAATGAACACAGCATTCAAGTGCCAAAATGTTGAAGCTGGGAGCTGTTTGAGTACCGAGGTTCCTCTGTATATTTATATACTGTATTGTAAAAACTACCTCGCCAAGTAGCCTAAATATCTCATATTTCTTCCTAATTAAGACAATTTGTGTTAGCTGTTATAGTGAATATAACTGTACTATCGTGACCAGAAGATTATAATTATTATTATTACAGTATTATTATTATTATTATATTTTGGTTTGGTATATATGAAGCTGACTTGCATGGGCTAATGAACTTTCTGCAGTTTTGTATATTCTCATATCATTGAAATGGAAGACATACTTGTAATTCTTAGTGCAGAGCCGTTCAGCAAAGGTGGCGGGTGGGTACAATCTCAGTGTCTCTGTGGGAAAACAACATAAACATAAACATCTGTATTGGCTTCTTCCACATGTGTGTTATCACCTTGTAGCCAGTTATCTCTTCATGGCCAAAATGAATTTGATTCAATTCTATAATGAATTTGGCAATACAAAGGAGTACAAAATACACGGCAAAGTGAAGAGAGGTAGAAATTTTGAGAAAGAGATAGCGGACAAAAGTAAAACAGAACCAGGCCTATTCTGTAAATTATTAAAAGCAAATTGCAGGTAAAGGATAATATTCAGAGTTTGAAAATGGGAAATAGATTCACAGAAAATGAAAAGAAAATGTGTGAAACATTAAATTTGATTTACTAATAATTATGTCCTATCTTCATTGTCATTTAATTGTTGTATTTCATTTATAAAATTGTTTACTCATGTCCTTGTTTATTTTTAAGTGTTGGCTTCATTATACTTAAATTATACTATCATACTCTAGGTTGTGTTCCAGTTGCTGTTCTAGATTACACCTCAGTATTTCCATTCTCCTATTTATGCAAATAAACTACTTTACTATTACTAAAACTACAGACTCCATAATGTAATAGTCTATGCATGTCATCATTAGGATGTATCTCCTTTTTATTGTACACATTTGTTAATTTTCATAAACTTTCTCCATTTTGTTAGCTTCTCCTGGCTTGGCACCTTCTTTTGATAAGTATTTACCAGTACTTGTTAGCTTCTCTTTTAGTATAAACACAGAGTTTACCGTCACTCCTTTAAATCATATTTTTGTCTAAATTTGTAAAGTTTTGCCTGAAATGCATTGCATAATAGTGGCTTCATTAGTATGTGTTACTCCTGTACCTACAATTATAATTAGTGATCAATTGAATGTGTGTTCTTTGTATACACATGCTTCTGGATAAACATTATTATAATTACAGTAATATGATATTGAACAGCAGAGCCATGAGTGGTGCAAGGGCATGAACAACACTCATATACCATAGATGATATTTCCCTAATGTTCCCAACTTTGGTTTTAAGTGAGTGAATTATGTATATAATGTGTGTTGAGCTGACTGGTAAAAGGAGTAGAAAGTTAAGAAAACTGCCAGTGAGATATGTAGTAACATGAGTGTGGGTCTCTAGGATGTTTCTTACCCTGGAGACAAGCATCGAGATATTTGGCTTCCATGATACCCTGGTAGGTAATATTACCGTGTTCCTTAACCATGTCCTCTACCTCCTGGCGGAGACGCTGCTGGTGGGTAGGGTTCTTGGCCAGTAAGTAGGATGAGAAGGCCAACGTGGAGGCTGTTGTGTCATAACCAGCTATCAGGAACATCACGCTCTGAGCCACTATCGTCCTCTCTGACAACACTGAACCATAATCCCAAATTAGTTATTGCTGTTCTCGTTGTCATTAATTTAGCTCATTATAATAAATATAATAATAATAATTGTTATTTATTAAGCAAAATTACAGTACATACATACCAGCCCATCCTCCTGTTTAGATAGTACTTATAGTAATAATGGTGACATTCTTCTGGATAAACATTATTATAATTACAGTAATATGATGTTGAATGGCAGAGCTATGGGTGGTGCAAGGGGTATGAGCAACACTCATATACCATACATGATATACCATAGATCGTACATATATTGACGTAATGGACAATTAGAAAGTAGAATTTGGTACTACAGTATTAAATTTGGACAAACTGGAAAAGGTTTTGTATTTATGTTGCTAATAAAAACCTAACCTAACCATCCTAGGTTTAATACAAGCCATCTAAGGCCTAATATAGTACATAGACAGTGTATGTTATATTAGGCCTAGGAATATTCAAGTTTGGTTTTTAGCTTTATTTTTCCAGACTCTATAAGGTAAATAGCAACAAATTCTATATCTAATTATCCATTAAGTCATGTATGATGATCCATATATAGTTGCAAAAAATATTATGTAAGCAGGAGGATGGGTTGTATATAGGATATATGAAGAGTGTATGAATAATGGGCAGGACAGTACAGTGCCTAAAGCCACTAATATGCAGAGAGTTTTGGCTATAATATGGGTAAAAACCCAAAAGACTTAAAAAATAAATGAGATCAAACAATAATGAATTGAAGTAGGGGAATAGATATAAAATGACAATTATTACATGATTGGAAAAGCAAAAATTACAATACAGAGAAATCACATTATCATGATATATCAATGAGAAAATCCACAGTGGATTTTCTCATTGTTATATCACGATAATGTGATTGCTCTGTGCATTGAAATTTCAGGAATTTTAGAAATTCAGAACGTCAGAGGTAAAATTTCTGGACGACAGCCAGAGTGTATGGGGGGAAATTGTGTGAAACCCTGGTTCGGTTTCAGTGAAGCCTCAGGATCCTCGAGGATTCAGTAGTACCCCAGGTTGCAATTCTTTTGACCATGTTGTGGCATAGTCGACTAGAGCGTGCATCTGGGAACACCCAGTGCATAGAATCGAACCCTCATCACAGCTGTGGATTTTCTAAAATATGACAACACTACCTACCTGTTGATGATTCAAAGGATCAACGTCCTCACGGCCGGCCTCTGACCATATTGTTGTTGTTTTAGATTCAGCTACTTGGAACAAAATGTTCCCAGCAGCACAGGCTATGGTGAGCCCGTAGTGGTTCTGACCAAGTCTCGTATTCATTTCACAGCGTAAACGGGAGGAGTTCAATTTTGTTCATTAAATTTTTACATTTCAGTTAACAGCAGTAGTACAGGTTCAGCAATTAATGTTCAATAACAGCAAAACATAAGTTGACACTTAGGAAGTAAGGTATGTTGCATAGTCTATCAGGTATTGTAGTTCATGCTCTCTCTTTTAAACTGGTTGAGAGGATGACAGTCTTTGATGTGATTAGGAAGGTTATTCCACATTTTAGGACTCCTTGATTTGCAGAGCATTTCTGTTTTGGTTAAGTCGCACTCTTGGAATATCAAATAGATATTTGTTTCTAGTGAGGTGCCCATGGATTCAGTTCAACTTATCAATGAAAATACCAAGGAATTTACCATCTACTTTCTTAATTCTGAGGTAAATTTGATTTGTGGATTTATTACCAAACAAAATATAGAAGGTTTTATCAGTGTTAAAGGGTGAGTTTGTTAGCAGTTAGCCAAAGATAACCCTCTTTTTTTTTTTTTTTTTAGTTCAGTATTCACTGTGTTATTCAGAATAAGAGAGTTAGGACTGGAGGAAAAGAAGGTTGTGTCATCAGCAAATTGAACAGGCTTGTTAAGAGGCATTTGGAGGATCATTTTAATTGGTGTAAATAGAAGAGGAGAGGACAAAGTATACTGATCTGTGAAAAGCCAATATTATTTGGTAGGGTGGGAGAAGCAGCCTCATTTACAGACACATACTGTGAGAGGAGGAATTTCCAGCTAAGTTTCTAGACTGAGTAGAATGCAAGATCGCTGTCGTGCACGCAGTCGTCCATGCACACTCTCTAGATTCCGTTATTCCTACCCGAATCATCTTGTGTTTGGGCTCTGTACCTAGCCCAGGCTCCCAGCTGTTTGTTAAGAATACAAGGGCCATCGTAGACCAGCTGTGAGTAAAGGTACAGACATTCTCATGATTTATTTAATGTGTAGCAAGGGAAGAGTGGTGGTGGGGTACTTGTCTGGTGGGGGGGGGCATTGGTCTTGGTTACTACCCACCGAGTAGGCCTCCCGCGCGGTGACGTCACAGAGCCACGTGACCGAGGCTTGCTCTGATTTGTCGAGACACGTGTAGGCTGATGGCCGCGCTTTGTTGTGATTGGTCAAATTCAAGACATGTGCCGGGGGGGAGACCAGCGTGCCGGCTTGCCTGCTTCAAGCCCGCCAAGCCATTCTGCCCTATGTTCAAATTACTCTCGCTTGACCTGTTGTCACGTGGCAAGGCCAAGCCACGTGAAGCTCCGTCTGTATCGACATTTAAGTTATTCAGTACTGCATTCTTGTACCGTCGGCGCGGGTCAACTATAAAAGACAGCAAAATCCGGAATTCGGATTCCAGATTCGGAAATCCTCGCTGAAGGAGGCCATAAACTATACAATTGAGAATAATTTACATGTCATCATTCATACCGACTCTAAATCTTCGCTCCAGGCATTGTTATCCAGTCAACACAGATAATATACAACTCATCACAGAAATCCAACATAGAGGAAAGGAAGCCCATAATCTAAGGCTGTCAATCACCCTAAAATGTATATATACTGGTTAGTATTGTAAATGTGTGGCCACGTCTGTGGTAGAAAAAAAAATCGCCCTAAATTGGATATCAAGTCACATAGGCAGTAATGAAAAGGCAGACTCACTAGCAAAAACTGTCACTGCTCTACAGGTTCAAATACCTCCAAGTTTTTTCACAGATTAAGGAGCAAATCAAGAAGGAAATGCTCCCAACTATCAAAAGTCGCCACAGAGCCAAAGTAGCGGAAGGAAGATCCACTGCGATATAATACGAACAAGCCACTGGGTACTACTCTTTCAAGCCTGACAAAAAGATATCCAAAGACATTGCAGTAGCCATACACAGACTCGGACTTGGTTACAAGTGCTGCTGGGAGGTAATAAGCCCAATAGTTAAAGTGTGTCATATCTGTGGAACAGAAGCAGAGGTGCCACTATTGCACTACTTAATGGACTGTGAAGCTACTGAATAACCTCGTCTCATCACAAACGACTTGATAATGGTCAGGACGGACCGAGACGTCGTCGTCTCTTCAATTTCTAGTGTGTGGTGTGGTTTGGTCAACATTTTTTTCAGCCTTTTGTGACTTTTGATCTGCAGTTAATTGATCATCCAAGTTAATTAAAGGTAATAAGAATCATCTTAGTGAATTCACACAGTGGTGAGGACTGTCGGGGAGCGACGGTATTTAAGTTAACATGCGCTCAGTATTAACTATCTGTCCGTGCAACAGCTAATTAATAACTCATGTTAATTAGGTTTAATTAACGTCTTACTGAGTTCTGACTGACGGTCGTTGGCAAAGTCATTGAGATTAAGATATTAACGTAACATGTTTTAGATTAATTGCCTGTCCATTTGACAGCTAATTAATATATGTAGTTAATTAAGGGTAATTAATGCCCAAGTGAATTCACTGTTGCTGAGAACTGTTGTACGTGACAGTGTTAATAGTAACGTAATTCGTCAGCATTAATTGTCTGTCCGTGGGTCAGTTAATTATTCAGGTTAATTAAGAGTAATTAACCACATCCAAGTGATTTGACATAGACTTGTGAGGGGAAAACTGTTGAGAGGGTAACAGTAGGGTCTAACGACACTCGTTTGGATTGATTAGCTGTGCAGTTAACAGCAATTAAGGGAATTACTGAATGCTTGATGAATCAAGTGTTTGGGTAATTAAGGGATAGCGAGTTATAATGTTGACAGTTGACTTGTTTGTAGGAGACAAGTGTGTGATTTAACGTAGACTCATTGTTGCTGACTACAGTTGACAGCCATTTAACGTAATTATCACGGATATGAAATTAGTGTAATTGGTTAGACTTTGATTGTCGTCTTTGAGAGACGAAGGGAAGGGAAGGGAATTATCAGGGGAAAGCGCTAGGCCATCACGACTATATAGCACTGGGAAGGGGTCAGGATAAGGATTTGGGATGGGACGGAGTGGCAGGAATGGTGCCCAACCACTTGGACGGTCGGGGATTGAACGCCGACCTGCATGATGCGAGACCGTCGCTCTACCGTCCAGCCCAAATGGACGAAGTGTTAAAGAAATCTGTAGGAGGTTGCCGGAGTTGTCTCAGCAACCCGCCTTGCCTTGTTTGGATTGCATTGCAACTTTATTTGTAGTGATGCAAAAACTGTTAACGTAACTGATCGGGAGTTACTGGAGGCTTGCAACATTAACTTTTCTTGTTGTTTTGCATTGTAAATGTATTGCAGAGTGCTGCAAGTAATTTAGATTGCAAATTGCGTCCTTAACACTCCGTGTTAGTCATTGATGAAGCCTTAGCGACAACAGGCAGGATATGGGTATGGCCGGGACGCATAATAAATGAACTAAACTAAACTGTGACTTTGATAGTGCTACAATCTCCCCGACTTGGCACCTTCTTCTGATAATTACTTACTATATTGTGCATAATACAAAAAAGACAGATATATATATGCCCTTTTTTCAATAATATTTTACACAGCAATTTTATAATTTTCTTACCATAGCATATATGTTCCTTATATATAAGCTATACAGTAACCAACATAATGTTTCAACACTAACCTTTAGATTTTATGACGAAATGCTGGTTGTCAGTGGCAGTGAGACCATTGTGGTTGTCAGTGGCAGAGTTGCTGTGGTTAGTGGTGGAATGACTGAGGGTGGCGGGTAGATGGTCAGCTTGCGCTTCCATGAGAAGGTCAAGGAAGTCTCCTCTTCTCTGACCAGCCTTCCTGGCTGCTATCGTCTTACTTACCACACTTTGAAAGAACTTAATGTGGTAAGTGTCTGTTTTAAGCCTCAGCGCGTTATAGAGACTTGGCAAAAGGGTTAATAGAGTAAACTTTACAATCCTTATAAACGAAAAATTAAAAAAGGATTCTGCAACTTTAGCAAATTCTGCTTCCTCATCCCCAAGAGAATTAGATTCAATGCCAAAGGCACAGGAAGCAATAGTGTCCATTGTGAAGCACCCAAAGTTATGCTTCATATCAATAAAAGGTTTCCGAGCAGATTCCTTAAGACAAACGGACACGAGAGAATCAGCCTTGTCACAGATGAGAGGAAACATACTGCGCATCTTGCCCGAGGTGAAGGTGGGAGACATGACGGACCGGAGAGACTTCCAGTCGTCACCGGTCTTATTGCTCAACATTTCATTCATTAGGCTTTCATCCGCCGACGTAGTTATACGACGGTCAACAAAATGATCGAAGTCTTTAACGAAGATGTGTTTGAGAAGGTTTGGGTCGCCGATCATCAGGACAGGACGTAACAGTTCGTACAATCCACAGAAGGTGGCACCACCGTGCTTGTAGTACACCTGTAGGTATATACAATCATAACGTTACTTGTGTAAAGGAGGAAATGTATATGTTTATCTCTCAGAATGTTCGGTAATACGTTTATTGTTTGTGATGTGTGTATATGTATGTATTAACACGATGTACTGAACGGGGTGAGAATAGCTTGAGCTACCTCATCCCTTTGTGTGTATTTTACCTCAATAAACTTATTTCAATTTCAATCATAACGTAAATGAACCGAGCATCACACTAGGAACTTCCTCTCTCTCACCTTTTAACTCTTATGAAACACTACTGGATAAAATAAGGTTAAATTATAAAGGAAGTATTAAAATGTTAAATGCTCCATTACTATCATTGGTTAAAGATATTGGGGTGTCGGTTGGTTGGCAAGTTGACTGAGGGAAGAGAGAGCGCTATACTTAGTTTAGTTAATTTATTATACACCTCATAATTATCCTGTAGTGTCGATAACGATACTGAGAGACATGTTTAGAATAAACGTTAATGAAGACGTGACACCTGTTAGGGGCCCTATCGTGATTGTTGCCGTCAGCGGTGGCTTGTTTATTATGCACCCCTTTACTCATTCAGTGATTGGTAGCGGAAAAGGTTACAGAGGAACACAATGGGCTCAGGAACTGAACCCAAATATTCATTAAGCTAAGCAAGTTAGTATTGATTAGCAATAAGTTAGTTACATAATTAAACATAATTAATTTTTTTCTTAAGCTTAGGTATACACAGCAATGTGCTGCTCGTGTTATGTGAAGGATTGCAAGGTATAAGTCACGACCTACCTATAAATACCTTTAAGACCCCCCCCCTCCCATCTCACAGGATGCTTAGTCATACATGGAATCAGGAGAAAACACTAAATGCCAGTCTGTGGTTTACTATCCTACACTAGCTCACTTTGGGTAGATCACGAGAATATCCTCCAAAATCCGTGTGTGTTATTTCATGCTATTTGTCTAAAATCACTGATAACCGGGCATTCGCAAATATAGTATTAGAGAATGTGTCCCAACTCTTGTTCACATAGTTTACAATTTGAGTGCTCACTGTTGGGAGATTCATTACCTGCAGTCATCTGCTATAAGTATCGATATCGCAGCCAAATTCTGGCAATGTTACACTCAAGTGGATGTTTTGAGCTGTCCATACACATAGTTTTCGATTCTAACTCTGTTGCACTGTAGTGCTCTCTAGAATGGTGAGCTTTTGACATACTTAGGCCTATCTAAACCTAGGTAGACCTAGGTTTCTGGAATATCTAGGTCTAGCTCAATTTATGGAGTCAATTATGATCAATTATCAATTATGGAGTCAGAGGACACTCCCTGCAATACCTCAAATCTTACCTTACTGAAAGGCTCCAGTATGTTTCTGTGAATAATTCAATTTCCCCCACCCTACCCATCAACATTGGTGTTCCTCAGGGCAGCATACTTGGCCCTCTCCTCTTTCTCATCTACATTAATGACCTTCCAAATGCCTCCCAACACCTCAAACCAATCCTATTTGCTGACGACACAACCTTCATTTACTCCAGTCCTGATCCCCTTGCTCTAAATGTCACAGTGAATACTGAGCTAAATAAAGTCCATCTTTGGCTAACTGCCAACAAACTCACCCTCAACATTAACAAAACTTTCTATATTTTGTTTGGCAATAAATCCTCTAATCAAATAAATCTCAGGATAAATACTACCCAAATTTGTAACAAAATAGATGGCAAATTCCTTGGCGTTCTCATTGACCACAAGCTGAATTTCCCGGGACACATTCTAAATATATAAAAAAAAGTTTCAAAAACTGTTGGCATTCTTTCTAAAATCAGATATTATGTACCTCGCCCTGCCCTGGTGACGCTCTGTTACTTCCTCATCTATCCTTATCTCAACTATGGTATTTGTGCTTGGGGTTCTACTACCCAAAATCATTTACGTCCTCTAATTACTCAACACAAAGCTGCTATTAAGACAATATCCTACTCTGGCCCCAGACATCACTCGGTACCCCTACTCAAATCTCTGAATGTGTTAGATATTAAGTCACTGCACATCCTCTCATGTGTATTATACATATATAAAACGCTGAACTGTAATGTCAATCCTGACCTTAAAAGCTTCATTGAAGGTTGTAACAGAACCCATGAGCACCACACCAGAAACAAATATCTTTTTGATATTCCTAGAGTACGACTTAATCAAACTAGAAATGCTCTACAAATTAAGGGACCCAGAATGTGGAATGACCTTCCCAACCATGTTAAAGACTGTACCTCTCTCAACCAGTTCAAGATAAAAACTAAGCACTACCTAATTAACTCCCTGTAACCTACCTTACCCTATAATGTCAACCCATGTCTGTTATTTTTAAACAATACTGTTTGTCGACCAAATTGTATTTTTGCTGTTTTTCTGCCATGTTCCCCCCTTTTTTATTTTTTTATTTTCTCAACACATTTTATACTTTAATCTCAATTAGTATTAAGTTTTAGTCTTTAGCTGAGTACGGATAAGTTCACAAGCTGTCATATTTGATAAAAACCCTTACTGTCGAAACGTCAAGTTCTTCCCAACCTGGCGTTGCTGAACATTAGAATACTTGTAGGGGAATTTCGAAGAAGCATATCTCTGGTGAGTACTGACCTCGTTAAAATACATCCATCGTCTCTGTGACTTGGATAACTGCTTGTGCAGGTGGCCGATGACGGGAAGGTAGGGCGGCGTAGGCACCCCAAGGCGGGACCAGTAGCTGTGGCGCCGTCGGGACACTGCCAGCGCCACTAGCATCACTACCGCCACACACAACAACAACACACCAATCATTATCCTGCAAAATAAAACGAGAAATAACACAAAGGCGACAGTAGGCAAGAGGACCACACTCACGACCTACAAACTCAACAGATCCCGCCACGTAAAGAACACAAACTGATAAAATAAAAATAAATCACACACGCGTAGATAAACAAAGCGAGTGGCACCTGATACTGTGTCTGCGATAGATAGTAGCTAGCAGAGTACGGCTATTAATTAGTAAGTTAGAAACACACACTTCTCCTTTGAAGAAATAAACCGGTGCAAAGGAAGGTTTGGTGAAGGCACCACACAGTCGTACATTGTGAAAACTCAAGAGAACGGGCTCCATATTATGCAGCCTCCTTCACGCTTGTAATAATGCAGCATCTGGAGCGCCTAAAAGAGAAAATAAGACTTCAGCCATGATGGAAGTGGTAGAGAAGGGTGACATTTGCTCCATCACTCAACAGGGTGACAGTAGCATGCAACACACAGGGAGGGTGACTGTAGCAGCAACACACAGGGAGGGTGACAGTAGCAGCAACACACAGGGAGGGTGACTGTAGCAGCAACACACATGGAGGGTGACAGTAGCAGCAACACACAGGGAGGGTGACAGTAGCAGCAACACACAGGGAGAGTGACAGTAGCAGCAACACACAGAGAGAGTGACAGTAGCAGCAACACACAGGGAGGGTGACAGTAGCAGCAACACACAGGGAGGGTGACAGTAGCAGCAACACACAGGGAGAGTGACAGTAGCAGCAACACACAGGGAGAGTGACAGTAGCAGCAACACACAGAGAGAGTGACAGTAGCAGCAACACACAGGGAGGGTGACAGTAGCAGCAACACACAGGGAGGGTGACAGTAGCAGCAACACACAGGGAGGGTGACAGTAGCAGCAACACACAGGGAGGGTGACAGTAGCAATAACACACAGAGAGGGTGACAGTAGCAGCAACACACAGGGAGGGTGACAGTAGCAGCAACACACAGGGAGGGTGACAGTAGCAACAACACACAGGGAGGGTGACAGTAGCAGCAACACACAGGGAGGGTGACAGTAGCAATAACACACAGGGAGGGTGACAGTAGCAGCAACACACAGGGAGGGTGACAGTAGCAGCAACAAACAGGGAGGGTGACAGTAGCAGCAACACACAGGGAGGGTGACAGTAGCAGCAACACACAGGGAGAGTGACAGTAGCAACAACACACAGGGAGGGTGACAGTAGCAGCAACACACAGGGAGGGTGACAGTAGCAATAACACACAGAGAGGGTGACAGTAGCAGCAACACACAGGGAGGGTGACAGTAGCAGCAACACACAGGGAGGGTGACAGTAGCAATAACACACAGGGAGGGTGACAGTAGCAATAACACACAGGGAGGGTGACAGTAGCAGCAACACACAGGGAGGGTGACAGTAGCAGCAACACACAGGGAGGGTGACAGTAGCAGCAACACACAGGGAGGGTGACAGTAGCAGCAACACACAGGGAGGGTGACAGTAGCAGCAACACACAGGGAGGGTGACAGTAGCAGCAACACACAGGGAGGGTGACAGTAGCAATAACACACAGAGAGGGTGACAGTAGCAGCAACACACAGGGAGGGTGACAGTAGCAGCAACACACAGGGAGGGTGACAGTAGCAGCAACACACAGGGAGGGTGACAGTAGCAGCAACACACAGGGAGGGTGACAGTAGCAGCAACACACAGGGAGGGTGACAGTAGCAGCAACACACAGGGAGGGTGACAGTAGCAATAACACACAGGGAGGGTGACAGTAGCAGCAACACACAGGGAGAGTGACAGTAGCAGCAACACACAGGGAGGGTGACAGTAGCAGCAACACACAGGGAGGGTGACAGTAGCAGCAACACACAGGGAGGGTGACAGTAGCAATAACACACAGGGAGGGTGACAGTAGCAGCAACACACAGGGAGAGTGACAGTAGCAGCAACACACAGGGATGGTGACAGTAGCAACAACACACAGGGAGGGTAACAGTAGCAGCAACACACAGGGAGGGTGACAGTAGCAATAACACACAGGGAGGGTGACAGTAGCAGCAACACACAGGGAGAGTGACAGTAGCAGCAACACACAGGGAGAGTGACAGTAGCAGCAACACACAGGGATGGTGACAGTAGCAACAACACACAGGGAGGGTAACAGTAGCAGCAACACACAGGGATGGTGACAGTAGCAACAACACACAGGGAGGGTAACAGTAGCAGCAACACACAGGGATGGTGACAGTAGCAACAACACACAGGGAGGGTGACAGTAGCAACAACACACAGGGAGGGTGACAGTAGCAGCAACACACAGGGAGGGTGACAGTAGCAGCAACACACAGGGAGGGTGACAGTAGCAACAACACACAGGGAGGGTGACAGTAGCAGCAACACACAGGGAGGGTAACAGTAGCAGCAACACACAGGGAGGGTGACAGTAGCAGCAACACACAGGGAGGGTGACAGTAGCAACAACACACAGGGAGGGTGACAGTAGCAATAACACACAGGGATGGTGACAGTAGCAACAACACACAGGGAGGGTAACAGTAGCAGCAACACACAGGGAAAGTGACAGTAGCAGCAACATCACAGTAACACAAAGTAACAAATACCGTAACATAATTAACCTACCACCCACACACTGGTCTATAATAACCACCAAATACAAACCTCAGTGTTCTCAGAGGAGTGCATGTAGACGCCCTCTACCCACCGACACAACTGTCAGCGGCGCCTCCTAGTCGCCAAGTGGAGGCGGGACACGCCTCAACAAGCCCACAGTGCTTCCTAATCTTCATAATGACAAAGTGATTTTTTTTTTTAGTGCAAGATAAGGCAGAAGGTGCAAGATACAAGGGTGGAACAGATAACTACTCTATCAACGTGACTTCCATCCCGGACGACACACAAGGAACCCAGACAGACAACATGAAAAATATTGGTAACACTTGTTGTTGTTTTACGTTCAGCTACGCGGGAAGAAAAAGTTCCAAATAGCACCGGCTATGGTGAGCCCGTCGCACTCACTTGTTAACACTATACTTCGCCAGGTTTATAATAGTTAATTATTTATTGTGTCGGGGGACAGGATGCCAGAGTGTATTTATACACGTTTTTGGTTTTTATCGAGCCCCCCCCCCCCCAAGATGGAATTACTGACCCCGCCCAGGATGCAACACCACAACAAGCTGACTCCTGAGTATCTACTCACTGCTAGGTGAACGGGTAAATTAGCTGAAAGGAAATGTGCCCAACCATTTCTGTCCCGCCCGGGATTCGAACCCGGAATTCTCGATTGCGCGTCGAGAACGAACTCGATTGTACCACCGGGCCCCCAAATGACCTTCACTGTGACCTTACTGGTCAGGTGCATGACCCTCACTATCACTCCATCACAACATAAATCCATGTGAATTCAGTAGAGTTCTGCGTTGGTTGGCTGTTGTCCTCTCGCGGGTGAGTGGGTTAGTTAGTTAGTTTAGTTCATTTATCATGCACCCCATACCCATCTTGTGGGCGGTAGTGGAAAGGGTTACAGAGGCACATAATGGGCTCAGGGACTGAACCCGACAATTCATTTAGCTAAGCAAGTTATAATCTTGATGAGCTAGTTACAAAATTCAGTATAAGTCGTCACATCAACAAGGGGTTCGAGATCGACCTCAAGTACATGTTCTAAATTAAGCAACTGACATATGTGGAGAGCTAGTGTCACAATTTATATGTTTGTCCTGCACACCGCCCCCCATCCAGTGGGCAGCGGTGGATAGGTTACAGTCACTTAGTTACTACCTACAGTTAGCAAACTGGGGATATTTGGCTAAAATTTCTGGTAGCAGATAATTTATAATGAAATATTTACACATTGTTGGAACATGAAGAAGTGCGTTCTGGCTACTAGGTACGACACACACACACACACACACACACACACACACACACACACACACACACACACACACACACACACACACACACACTGGCTCAGGAATCTGTACACCAGTTGATTGACGGTTGAGAGGCGGGACCAAAGAGCCAGAGCTCAACCCCCGCAAGCACAATTAGGTGAGTACAATTAGGTGAGTACACATATATATATATATATATATATATATATATATGTGTGTGTGTGTGTGTGTGTGTGTGTGTGTGTGTGTGTGTGTGTGTGTGTGTGTGTGTGTGTTTATATATTAAATATTAGGTTATATAGTTAATTCATATACTCATGTAAGTATATGAATATATAGTGCAGTATATAATATAAAATGAGTATATAATTTGTATACTTACATATACGCACTTGTCACGATGATTTATACATGTTTGTTGTCTATACTGCAAGTCATCCCTCTATCGCACTCAAGTACATGACTCGGAATTTATCAAACAACATTATCATCATGACAACCAAGTTGAGTTTAATATGACCCTCAGATCCGTGCCAGGGCTGATAATAATAATAATAATAATAATAATAATAATAATAATAATAATAATAATAATAATAATAATAATAATAATAATAATTTATTTATTCGGACAAAAGTACATACATAGGCTACAAGAACAGCGGAGGATCCGTAGGTAAGACAAGAACGAAGCCTAAGGTCACTAATTCGAAGAGCGTTTCCAGCAAAATATAGACAAAATTGTAATGATCTGGGGCTCAGATCATTGGTTCTCCCTTTTTCCCCCCTTCCTTCTCCCTTTCTCCCCTCCCCTTGCCCGTCATTCGTCTCCCCCCCCCTTCACCCCCCCCCCTGTCGCCTATTTGTCAAGGACCAAGAGGTTGACCTGAGGGTGGTCTTGCCTCGTGATACCTTTGGCTTCCCCCACTCAACTTCCCCCACTCAAATTTCCCCTCTCCATCCCCCTCTCAAGTCCCTCTCTTTCCCCTCTCACCGGTCCCTTCCCCATACCAGGCGAGTCAAATGTCCCTACCCTTTATCTTGGAGGAGACAGGCTTGAACATAATTTATCAGTTGGTAAACATTGCTCACAGGTGCACTGGGCTCCATAGAGGCGCCTTGTTTCCCTTCTAATAGCTGGGGAGAGCTGACTCAATCTTCAGGAATTCATGTAGCCTTCCACGGCAGATCAGGGAAGGTGATTGGCGGGAGATAAGGGCCAAGTCCTTATTGGCCCTAGAGAGCCAGACCTCAGGCCTAAGTGTTAAATGGTTGGCCTTTGCCAAAATATTGGATGGAGCCCTGGGGCTGTATTAGATGGTGGGAGGAGTAATCCTTCCCAGCAATAAGCTGGTAAAACAAAATTTGATTAGTGTGTCTCGGGAGTGTGGAATAAAGGGGCCGCAAGCCCGCATCCTAGGGCCTGAGGGCAGCCATCAACATCGTGGCCTCAGTGCGATTTTAAGGTATTGTGCACTTGACTCTCATGCCCTCAGTAGATATCCATTGTGCCTCTAGGGGAATAGAATAGGGTATATGTTCAAATTGTCTTAATTTACATGTTTCATAAAATAAATTGTATAACTTGTCCAGTGGTATTCACTTAACTCCCCTTTGATATATTTCTCTACTTTGTCATTTTTATGTGTTGAATTGGAAACCCCCAAGTTCTCCTACAGTTAATAGATACTAAAGTTGTCCTTGGATTTAAATAAGTAGCGTAAATTAAACTAACTAATTTCCCAAAATTTATTACTGAAATTCATATTACCCCGGAGTTCCATGATTACTGATTTCTTGCCTACCTGGGGGATCGGTGATAGACACATTCAGGTATGGTTGGACGGGAAGGTGGTGGCAGTGTTTAATGAGTTTTATTATTTTTTTTATATACATTTATAACCCTTGTCCTTGATGTATCTTCCTCATTTAATATTCCTCTGATATACGTGGCAGTCCAGTGAGGGGTCATACTGGACTGTAACAGTGTTGAGCTGGGGTATTGAGTGAAGAGAGAAAGAGATTTACAACAGGGATAGCGGAAGATTACGATCACGAGAGACGATCATAGAGGTCAGAGGGATATTACATGGTTTTTTGGGTCATTACAAAATAAATGGTGAACAATATAGAAGCACGATGGGCAAACTTAGAACTAAGTGAGCTCGGGAAAAAATTGTGAACTAAAAAGAGAAATAGAAATAAAATGACAATTATTACGTAATAATTGCAACTGCAAAAAATTGCAACAGACTGATCGGAATTTTCACAGTATAAACAAATGGTATACAATTCTTGATTTAATTTTTCACACGGCAGATATCAGTTACATTATAGGTTCAGTAATTGAAGTTCAATAACAGTTTAGTTTAGTTCATTTATGGACACAAACTTAAGGCACTATTTGATTCATGAACCTCTGATAGTTTCATAAATAAATGCACTTCGGGAAAATACAATTTTAAGTGTATCCATAATTTAAGGTTATCTCCGTGGCATCAACGTCATTAAGCTCTTTGGGTTTTTATAATGCAGCTCAGGAGCTTCATGGCCAAACTTAAATATTAAACCATTTACCAGTCTTGAAGTAGTATAAAAAAAAACCTTTCAACAACAGAACACGTCTGAAATTAAAAGTATGGAGGACATAAACCAGTACTCAGAACTGTGGGTACCAGTCCAGCGTGGGCACTCTCAACAGCTTTGATGGATGACCCATAACTTTTTCCCCACGTGTCTGTTTGTCCAGTCTACAGGACGGACGTGGCCCGAGCGTGGTCGGCCCACGCTCGGGCTCCAGTACCATACTTTAAATTATATACTGTAAATCTCTAACACTGCCCACTTAACCGCCCCACAACACCGAGATTTTTAGGAAAGTTGAATTTAAATCGGAAATGCGTTTTCCGTAGATTCAGATTCAGATTCAGATGTTTATTCAGGTAAGGTATATACATACAAGTGATGTTACATTAATGGATTGATATATAGATAGAGCTAGTACATACAATGCCTAAAGCCACTATTACGCAATGCGTTTCGGGCAAGAAAAACATTAATATCTAGAACTTAATACTAATTGAGCATAAAGAATAAATAGTGTTGAGAACAAATACAAATAAAGATAAAAAAAAAGGGGGAACATGACTGAAAAAGCAGCACAAATACAATAGGTTGACAATCAGTGTTGATTAAAAAAAAGAAAATAACGGACATGGGTTGACAATAGAGGAGTGAGGTAGGTTACAGGGAATTTATTAGGTAGTGTTTAGTTTTTATCTTAAACTGGTTGAGAGAGGTACTGTCTTTAACATGGTTGGGAAAGTCATTCCAAATTCTGGGCCCCTTGATTTGTAGAGCATTTCTGGTTTGATTAAGTCGTACTCTAGGAATATCAAAACTGTATTTATTTCTGGTGTGGTGCTCATGGGTTCTGTGACAACCTTCTATGAAGCTTTTGAGATCAGGATTGGCATTACAATTTAGCGTTTTGTATATGTATAGTACACATGAGAGAATGTGCAGTGACTTAATGTCTAACATATTCAGGGATTTGAATAGGGGTACCGAGTGATGTCTGGGGCCAGAATTGGATATTGTCCTAATAGCAGCTTTGTGTTGAGTAATTAGAGGACGTAAATGATTTTGGGTAGTAGAGCCCCAAGCACAAATACCATAGTTGAGATATGGATAGATAAGGGAGTAATAGAGAGTCACCAGGGCAGGGCGTGGTACATAATATCTGATCTTAGAAAGAATGCCCACAGTTTTTGAAACTTTTTTAGATATGTTTAGAATGTGTCCCTGGAAATTCAGCTTGTGGTCAATGAGAATGCCAAGGAATTTGCCATCTAATTTGTTACAAATTTGGGTATTGTTTATTTTGAGATTTATTTGATTAGAG